ATCACTTTTTGAAGTTAAAAGCCTGTAAAGCCTATGGGGATAATAGGCGAAAAACGAGCCGATTCCGGCGCAGTGACAACTTTTTTAGAATGATTGTTTATGAAAAGATAAATACATTTCTCATAGAAAGTAGAGTGCATTTTCAAAGATTTAGGTATAAAATGTTCAGTTTCAAATATAATATCATGCAGCACATTTTTTTTATTAATCAAAATGAGTTAGGTGCGCCATAATAGGCGATTCTCCCCTACCACTTATTTCATCAGACCTTCATATGCTTAGTCTTAACGACTACCAACATTTTCATAACGATCGATCTGTTACGGCTGGAGAGCCAATTTATTATAATAAATAATATATATTGATTTTATTCTGGCTGGTGACAACGAGGGAAAGTATATATGATGTTATTTATTTGATTTGCGTGGAGTAGTCGTTATTATTTGTTATAATAAATTACAGTGCAATATTATTCATCCATTCAGATACAAAAGTTTAACTTACACCTAGGCTTACTCAACTAATTAAAAATAATATACATAAGCCTGGTGGACGATTCTTGGTGTAGATCGTGGCTCACTCTGCAACTGGTTGGCTGGGGTTCCTGGTTGGCTGCACTGTACTAACTGCACTAGTCTCGATTACAAATTACACTCCGCATTGGACTCGCGGCACAATTTAATACAAGTCTGAATAATATAAAATCGCGGTACAAAGTGACGTGAGCTCTGCACACCGAATAAGATGATAGTCGAATCGCACAGAGGCCTCCGTGGGTCCTCAATATATACTACTAGATTTCGCATACAAAAATAGGAGAAAGTACCTGTCAGCACCTGCTCATCCGTGAGAACCTGACGACAGCTTTTGCTAATTTTTACGAGTTCATTGCTCTTCCTGCTAAATTGGCATCGCCTCACATTTAATCAATTGTAAGAGGTGTAGATTTCGATGTTCTTTTCATAGAACTCGATGTTTTTATCAATTTTATAGTTTTGTTTTTCACTTAGCTTGATGTCGTCAGATCCCGTCGATTGAGGCTGGCGCGTCCGTTCGTAGAGTGAAATTTCATGTTTATCGTTGTTTGAATATACATTATTTTTAAGAATATTATAATTGTTTATAATAAAATGAGGGTGACGTGACAGATCAACCTGTTTTCCTGAAACTGTTGACACAAAAACAATAAACTGTGAACGCAATTCAATTATGAATAAATTTAAAATGCTTGCAATTTATCTCGTAAATCGCTATTAACTCATTAACGTCCAGAATGACGAAAGGTTTTGTTTCCAAATGACGCGATTTTTTTCTATATTTTGAGCCTTACAAAGACTTTTTACTTACATAATTTTATGTTAATTTTGATTCTCTTTCACATAACAAAAATAGGTCGCAAAGGTTGCAGTTATGGGTTTTGAAGTGAAACTTCGTTAGACGCGTTGGGTATGAAGTACGATTCTCTAAAGTATTACTAATATTTAACATTTATTTCTAAAAAAAATTCTCAAATATAAAAGAAAATTTATTTGTTCATTTTAAGCATCATTGAAGCTGAGAAAAAATTATAATCTTTTTTTTACATTTGCGATCCAACTTTTGTAAGATGAAAAATTTAAAAAATTTTTTTAATTCATTCATATATATTTTATTGATTTTTGAAAATTAAAATATAAAGTTTTATCATCCGCACCTCTGTAAAAGTTCTCAAATATTAGAATTTTACAAAAATTCTTGATTGGCTTCAGTAATTTTTAAATTCAAAACTGTTTAAATCTCACATTAAAACCAAAATAAGAAAAATTACAGAATAAATTGCTAAATTAATAATAAAATAATAATTTTGATAGCTCACGTTTATTATTTTCTTCTTTCTATTCGTATGTATAGAGATATGTTCCACTTGGATACTTTTTCGAGTGTCATGGAAGCAAAGTAATTAAATAGAAGAAGAAAGGAAAAAAAATCATTTTCACCTCGTAGAAAAATATTTACGATGAATTCAAAAAAGGCTTTGCCCGAACTAGACATTGAGATGCACTTCCTTTGAGTTATTATTTTAAAAATTTTAATAACCATTAATACGAAAGGATCGCCTGAAGGAAACACGATTCATCCGCCGTGAAGACAAATTATTTTTCATCGAATTTTTCGCTCATACCGATGTAGTTTTTTGTTTTTGTCAAAGCTCTTGATGAAATGAAAAGAAAATAATTCAAACATGTACGGCGCGGGGAATATAGGCGGTAGTTGAGTTAGTTCGGTATATACGAAATCGGGTAGTTTGCTCGACTGCATACAAAATTCCGCAGATTAAATCTCTAGCGACAAATTAAACAAGAACAAATCCCCAAAGCTCCGGCATACGTAAACCCTAGCAAAAGCTTGAGCGAGTGAGGGACGCGGAAAAAGTTGGTGCGCTATACATAAATGTATACCGAGCGAACACGTGTTGCTGCATACGTACAAATCGCGTACACCTTGGCGCGCGTATGCCGTACGTAAAGGGAGCAGCAGGAGCAGGAGCGCTCGAGCTAGCTGCTGCTTTTTTTTACTTCTCAAGTGATAGGGTTGCGAGTCGTCTTTCCTGCACAGCGCTCAGGATTTTACAAATCTACTTTTCATACAGCAATGGGCCTCCACGAGCTTGTTATGCAGGCGAAAAGCGCTGACTCCCGCGCGCGAGCTGAGCCTTATATACATGAGCCGAGCAAACCCCCATTTCTGCATATACCCGTCGACTTTTTCCCTACTTTCTTTTTTCTCTCTCTTTTTTTTGTTCCTTCTTCAACCCATGAAGACGAGATATGCACTATATCTTTCTTTCCGCATCAGCTCGAAGCGACAGAAAGTTCGATAAACGCGTGCTGTACTTCAAGCTGACTTTTTCTCTGCAAGCTCTCATATCTCTCGTGTATACCCATCTACGTACTGTATGCGTCTTGAATGTGACCTTTTGTACAACAAATGTACCAAGTCGTAGTAATAGTAGTAGTAGTAGTCCTGCCAGCTCGCTAAAGTTGAAATAATTTTTCTTCCAGCTTAGGCATGATGTCACGATCATTATAAAACTCGTCTTTTTCTGTCGCGTAGACAAATTTTTTATTTGCGATCTTTTTTGAATGAAAAAAGATATGGTAATGCGACAAATTTCGTTGCGCACTTTGAATATCAACTGCATAGGGAGACTCGGCTTTAATTATGAAAGAGATAGTGATTAAAATTGATACGTAAGTTGTGTTATATATACATACTGGAGGAATTAATTGAAAACGATAAATTGATTGATGAGGGCTGCGAGCGCAAAAAGGAGGGCAATATGAACGGCAAAAATTCATTTATCATTTTGATTATTGAAGGCACAGTCGAGAGAGGGGCGAGCGCATACATAAGCGAAAGCTCGATGAATTCCCTACACACGCCGCGTGTTTACTCGTGTCGAGGCCGCTCTGGTTCGGGGGCATTTTCCTCCCCGGAGACCGATGCAAAGTAAAGCAATTACCGGTTTTCCGCTCCTCGTTCCTCCAGCTGTCAGACCCCCAGCTTTTATATAATAATAGCCGAAGAAAAGTCGCCAAGCATAAGAAAATGTGCACACATTAACGTTTCTTGGAGCTGCAGGACGACAGTGCAGAGCGAGCCAAGTACGCGCGCGAGACGCGGCGCAAGCTCATGCATGGGAAATCGATTTTCATTTGCTGCACGTGCGGGACACAATGCCGCGAGCTAAGTGTATACATTGCTTCGATTCTCTCTCTCTCTCTCTCTCTCTCTTTCTCTGCATGGCAATTCAAAGTTCAAACTTGGCTACCTTCCCCTCTTGCACTCGTGAATTTCGCATCCACTATAATTAGCTTCGCTTTCAATACACATTCTTGGTTTACGCAGCAACGGCGACAGCAGTGGCTGCGAGATCGAAGGCCGACTCGCTGTTTCTGTTTGCCCAAAGTAGACATATTAAATGCTTATTAACAAATGATTCACGATACGCGTGCCATTAGTCAAAAGGCCTGTCATGTATGGGGCTTAATTAGCCGTCGTTTGTGATTTCGGTGCTTCGCTGGCGATTTACGATGACAGCTCTTTGAAGCGGAGAAAGAGGCGCTCAGCGTCATTATGTTTGGCAGTTGATTGTTTCTCGTAAATTCATGCATCGTGATAGGTTTCGTTTGTGAGAGACATTTTTTAAAATTTCTCTAGATTAAATTTTTAGTCCTGTTTGTTGGAATTTGCCGAGAAACTTGTGGCGAATTATTATTACCTTTATCAAACGGACATTATGCAAATATGTAAAACGAGCTCGAAAAATGTTTGTCTTGAAAAAAAATAACCGCTTGTGTGCGTACGATTATAAAAATACATAGCTGCACAGCGATGATACAAGAGCAGAAAGAAAGGTGAATTTTAAATAAAATTTATCCTTTGCTACACAAGTCAAACATGTAAATAAGTAAAACATTTCTAATAGAGTCGGGGATTTTTTTATGGTTAATCATTTTTTTATCGGGTAGTGCACGGACGTTTCGATAAATATTTTCGCAAGTAGTATCAACTTCATTTTTTCTTTTCAAGTGCATAATTTATGTTCGTAGTCGAATATCGGTCCTCGATTAATGAAAAATCGAAAAAAGAAAAAGAAATTAAGAGCTTATATAAATAAACCAATGACGTCTGTGTTTTAGGTCTCGATCGCGCCAAACAAATATAATTCAATCGTGCTGCAACGGCGGTAGACGCGACAACAAATCCGGCACCATAAAATCTCCGAACTTTAATCTAATCTTTTGGAAATGTTAATTTTCGTACATTATATATGTTTGAAAAAGAAAAAGGCGTCGTCTGCTTTTCTGGCGCGACAATACAAAGCACGGCTTGTGCATATATAGATATGTATATATAGGTACAGGTGCCTCGGCTCTGCTCGCACATTTGGAGCACGGCTGGTATAAACGGCGGAGACATCCACGCAGCAGTGGTAGCAGCGGCACAGCGTAGGCGCGCAGTCGCACCGCAGCCGTCGTTCGCGCTCTTCTCTCCTCGATCCGCAATCCCATTTCTATATATAGGTGTGCGTAGTACCCCTATATATCTACATAGATAGACGCGCGTGTTGGTCCGCGCTCAGTGGTCTCAGCGGGCTTTCTGTATAGGCGCCCAGCAGCAGTAGCAGCAGTGCATGTGCGCGTGTGTGAGTGTGCCTCAATCGTATACCGTACGTACTGTATATTTCTAAGTGCGGACGCCATAGTCGCGTGTACACATGTACACGAGCACTGTATGAAAGAAAGCGTAGTGTTAAGTATCGATTCGAGTGCTGTGGCAGGCACATACATGCTTTAAAGTGCACCCAAGGAGCGCATACGATAGAAGAAAGAGCTGTTGAAGCAGAGGCAACCGTTCGATCGTCAGTCCGGATCAGCTGTTCGACGACGACACCAACAAGGACTCCGAAATGTTCTCGCTACAAAGGACCATCCTGTGAGTACTGTCATGCACATCTTACGATACCACTTGACGTACGAACGAAGAGTCTAGCCGACGTAAACTCCGACTCTCCGCGTGCTCGGCTACCGCTGCTGTCCTTTCGATGCCGTTTTCAGGGCTGTCCATCGCGCGATGCCGTGTTTTACCCTCGACCCGAGTTGAGAGGTTAAGTGGAGTCTCGGTGTCGGGCGGCCGAGCTTCGGCTGCGAAGGGTAGGCCGTTGTAGCCAGTCGCTATATAGGGCCAATAAATATGTATCGTAAACGGGACATCCGCGCGATCGAACGAGTCGATCGTTTGAAATGTCGATGGGAATCGATTTTTAACGAGGACATAGAACGACATTTAAGCAAGCAGTCGAGATTCATCGTCATTTGGCACAAATGCAGGGCAAAGCGAGAAATGTGGAACACTCGTGCATCGGCTGTATTACATAAAAGCAGCGCTCGTTCGCATCGGTCCGCGAATAAATACACACGTGAGGCTTCGGCCTGTCAGCTGAGAGCGAACGAAAGAACCACCAATGGCCCGTGCGTTTACATTATAATCGCGATGAAATTTTATCTGCTTTTCTTCTTCGTTTGATTTCTCCGTGAATTAAATATTGCGTATGCAAACTTTGCCACGTGCGCTTTCCATTACGGTATTTATCTGAAATGACTAGGGAGCTTTTTGGCACGTGACATTTTGGGGACGCATAAACTTAGTAGTAGCCTCTTATCTCTCGAAAGTAAATATTGATTTTGAGTACATTGACTCCGCCGACGTCAAATTCAAATTTTAACAAGTTCTCTTATCGAGACATGCGCCCCGAATATACACGCGTAACCTTCATGCGCATGTATAGTGGAGAAAAAACGAATCGTGTAATTTGCTTCCAAGACGCGATCAACCGTTAGGCCCTCTCTAATTGAGCAAAGATTGCCTGCACTTTTTCGGAGTCGAATTCAAAAAGACGAAGTCGGTGCAGCGCATTCTTGCGGTATACGCGCGACGCGGATATTTTTGAACGCACGTAATAATGAGCGCGCCGCAGCAACAGAGGCAGCCAGCTTGGTGCAGCTGTGTGTTGCGAGGAACGAAGTGAGAAGAAAAAAAATTATATATACAGCTGCAGATTTATTTTCGATGCTTTATGACCGCATCCAGACGTTTTTCGACATTAACACGTTCTATTTTCGTCGTCTGAGACTTTTAAAGCCACGCGCAAGCATTACATGTACACTCAATTGCGTCTTTTAGCCTAAATCCGTATTGTCTATTTTCATAATCTTTTTCCGTTTGATTCGACGGCGAAACTAGTTCACGAGGCTTCGAGCAGCGCCGGTGCTCGTGTGTAGGTGACAGAGTCCGTAAAGGCATACCTGTGAGCGCCAAGTGGCGTGATTCTTTGGATAATTGAGCGCAAAAAATAAGACGATAAGCTTTCGCGATGGAAAAACTCGGCTTCGTGTCCATCGTGCCGCTCGCAAAGTCGATGACGCAAGCCCAATAGAATAAGGAAATCCGAGAGCCAGAGCAGCGAGATAAGAGAGTAACGCGAGAGCCCCGCTCGTGTATTTCGCTCCTTGACAATCTATATCTACGTATAGACACGCGCAGAGCTACTTCTTTTTTTTTCTTAAAACTCTTGAATTAATCAAAGAAACGGATTGTGCACACAAAGGGTGCGCGCTCGCTTTCCTTCTGGCGAAATCGAATAATTCCGCCTCCGCTCTAAACGAGCCCGATGGCTTTGCATATTGATATAATTGTGTATCGCACTCGCCACCAGTAGATGTATATAGTTTTGAATGCATTAAGATCCGAATACAGCGTCGCTTTGCGCGCATACTTCATGTAAATTTTATATTTAATTAAGTCGTTTTTCTGTACAAAAATACAAGTTTTATCAATAAATTTCTTTCGAAAAAAAAAAGAGAAATAACTAAACAAGCGGCTTTATCAACGATAAGTGGCAGCAGCAGGTCGTTTCGACGCGTAAACTCGCTCCGACAACCTTGATACTGGACTCGTGTGCACAAAGGCGATTCTCCGACATTTTTAGTGCACTATACAAAATGATTCATAATGCAAGATTATTCATGATGCAATTTTTACATTTTATAAAATATAAAATTATTAAAATTTATAAAACAGATCGTGCGGAAGAAGTGGTTGCGGCTCGACATGCGGGGCCTGGGCACGGACACTGCCCCCAATGGCAATGGAGCAGCAGCAGCAACAGCAACGCCGTGGCATACACGAAGTTCAGGGTGACATCGTACCCATCAATATGGTCAAGGGTATCGGACATCTCAGAGATCCGCGGCTCAACAAGGTACTCAAAGCGCACAATCGTTATCGCTTTTTGCGCGGTGGCACGCTCTCGAGTCCGATGATTTAATCGCTCGAATTAACTCCACTCGAGATAAACGTTCATTTGGCCAATTTGAGTTTATCTCTGTGGATTTTTTTTATCTGTCGATGTTTACACGCGTTCTGTGGGAATTCATGATTTACTATACAAATACATCCACGCTTAAAGTATACATATAGACTAACAAGACTTTGAATATTTCAAAAGGGATTAGCCTTCTCATTGGAGGAGCGAATAGCGCTGGGAATACACGGACTCCAGCCGCCGAGATTTAAAACCCAGGAGGAGCAACTGGCGCTATGCAAAGCCTCCGTAATGAAGTATACCGAAGATCTGAATCGTTACCTCTATCTCGTCGAGCTTCAGGTAAGACTCGAATGAATTATTGATATGTGTATTTGAAGCGCGCAGTTGTATATATTGCAGCTAAACCAGCTAAACAACTCGTTAGAGCTCGTGGAAAATTAAACGCCGCCTTGTTTTTGTTGTTATCGCTTATAGGAACGTAACGAGAGATTGTTCTTCCGGCTGCTGAAGGAAAATATCGAGCAAATGATGCCGATCGTTTATACTCCGACGGTCGGCTTGGCTTGCCAAAAGTTCGGCGTAATCTATCGAAGACCGCGTGGACTATTCATCACGATCTACGACAAAGGTCACATTTATGAAATTCTCAACAACTGGTACGTTTTACGTAATTTTAAAGCTCGCGCGTCCATTAGCGCGCTACTCTAATTACTAATTGACCCGATTCGCAGGCCAGAACAGGCCGTCCGAGCGATCTGCGTGACCGATGGCGAGCGAATATTGGGTCTGGGCGATTTGGGAGCCTGCGGCATGGGCATACCCGTGGGCAAGCTCGCTCTCTACACGGCCCTGGCCGGCATCAAGCCTCACCAATGTCTCCCAATCACCATTGACGTAGGCACGAACAATGAGCAGTTGCGCAACGACCCTCATTACATCGGCTTGAACAAGCCCAGGACTTTCGGTGAGGAGTACGACGAGCTTCTCGATGAGTTCATGTGCGCCTGCGTTAAGAAATACGGCCAGAACGTGCTCATACAGTTTGAAGATTTTGGAAATCACAATGCCTTCCGATTTCTCGATAAATATAGAAATAAGTACTGCACTTTTAATGATGACATACAGGGTACCGCAGCTGTTGCCGTAGCTGGTATCCTTGCTTCTCAGAGGCTCACCAAAAAAGCCATGAGAGACAACAAATTCGTCTTTCTCGGTGCTGGAGAGGTAAGTTCATCATTCCGAATGTCAAGTTTTTTTTCATGAAATATGCTAAAAATCATCATCACCCTTCAGGCAGCTATCGGAATTGCCGATTTGTGCGTAAAGGCTATGGAGGCCGATGGCTGCTCGGCGGAAGAAGCGCGTAACAACATTTGGATGTTGGATATTGACGGTCTTCTGACGACGACGCGTACAGTTGGAGACCTGGAGGGTCACAAAATTTACTACGCCAAGGATCACGAGCCCATGACGACGCTCATCGACGTCGTGAGAAAAGTCAAGCCGTCCATACTGATAGGAGCATCGGCTGCTGCCAATACTTTTACACCGGAGGTACTGCAAGAAATGGCCAAAAATAATGAAAGACCTTTAATCTTTGCACTCAGTAATCCAACGAGCAAGGCCGAGTGCACGGCTCAAGCTGCCTACGAGCACACGCAGGTTCGTTTTAAAAGACATTTAAACATTCGCGTGTGAAAGTCATATGTTTCCAATTCATATTGTCAATTATACCTTACTACAGGGTAGATGTATATTTTCGTCTGGCTCACCATTCGGTGAAGTTGAATACAACGGAAAAACTTACAAGCCAGGTCAAGGTAACAATGCGTACATTTTCCCAGGCATTGCTCTCGGTGTAATTGCAACCGGTTGCCATCATATAACCGAAGAGATGTTCCTACTCTCAGCCCAAGAAGTCGCTAATAACGTATCCAACGAGGATCTCGAAAGAGGCAGTGTATATCCACCTTTGGGTACCATTCAAGAATGTTCGATCGATATTGCCTGCAAAATTGCCGATTACGCTTATAGACACGGTAATTTTCAGTGATTATTATTTTATTTTCTCGAAATAATCTCTCTAACCTACCTTAAAACAACAGGTAATTTGGCGAGCGAGTATCCCGAACCAAAAGACAAACGCTCGTTTATCATGAGTAAAATGTACGACTGCAATTACGACAGTCCCTTGCCGAACATGTACTCGTGGCCAGAGAGCTTTTGCAATCCGCGAATTCTGCCCGAACAGTAAGTACCGCCGAGCCTTGAGCAGAAAATCGAAATTCAAATACAAAATGCTTGTGTTTTTTCCATGATAAAACCAAGCCCTATTTTCACGAATCTTATTTCTGACACATCGTCTCTCAACAAGCTCTGTATTTTCTACTTTTAAAAAATAGTAGCTTTTTAAATGTATTTTTTTAATGCAGTAGGCGTTTGTTTGTACTTTATCATAGATAGCTTTTATTTATTTAAGTTTACTAAGTAATTTTTTTTTGCAAAACTTATGCACTTTAGTGTTGATGGCTTTACAAAATTACTGCCCTGCTTTTATACCTTCAATTTGTAAATTTAACATTTGCCTATTCTAAATCGTTATAGTAATCTTAATTACTAATTATCTATTATAAATTATAAAAAAAGTTATTTTTAAAGTTTACTGTGATACTCTGCAACAATCTTCAACAAGAAATTTTTATTTACTTGCGAAGATTTAGTATTTTCTTTTAATAAATGTATTGGCGTCAGAAAAACGCACTCAAAATAATTTATTATGTTTTTATTGGATTATAATTGATAAATATATTTGTTGTAGTTGTTATAATATAGAATTTCTTGGCCCTTAATAAAATGGTAGTTTTTTTTTTAATTTTTATTTATAATTTTATGCTATAAGAAAATCTAATTTACTTGATGCATAATTCTATGATATATAATTTTAAATGAATTAAAACTGCATTGAAAAATATGCAACCGATACACTAACAAATTGATTTTGATTGATTTTCTGTTTGAATAACTGCATGTATGAAAAAATGACAGAATATTATTTTTATTGTTCGCTTTCATCGGCTGATATGCTTGAATAAAGTAAACATACACGAAAAATCAAGTCTAATATCTACGCATGATCTTCCGTCTGAATTAGGTGTTGGCTAAAATAACATGCATGTAGGTCAGCCTATATGAAAGCATGTCTCTATATGGCGCACACAGCGATAACCACTTTGTTAAGTCAATGACAAATGTGCATGAATACATGTATTCGCCATACAAACACGCATCATTATTTCAATTAAACATAGAGAGGTGAAATGATGGTTGAGGATAAGAAACAAGAAAATATTGGATATAAACGATAACGAGCAATAAGTAAAAGTTGATTTGGGCTGAATTTTATTTTTATAGATCATTCGATACCTATTTTAAAGCAAGAGCCAAGGACGGACCATCACTGCTAAAATAAATTATGATTATAGGCGATCTTTTCATAAGCAACTTCATTTTGGTAAATAGGAACAATACCTCATAAAAATTTTCGTAGATAACAGTTATTTTCCTCTAGATCCATTACCTTTAATTCACTTTATCATCTGAATATTTTCAATAATCGAAGTAATCCAAGTAGATGAGTAAACCCCCGTATTTAATAATTTGAAAAATGGTGACTTTTAATCGGGTTTCCATCAAAAATATCGAAGTCAAACTCAACGATTGAGCAAACACAATTCGAGTCAAATGTGCATGATTCTATAAAATAGGCATATTTTATAATATCTGAATATAATTTCACGCAACTAACTGCGAAGCACCAGCAATCGTGAATACCTGCATGAATATTAACAACTACTATATTAATGTTTTTTGTTTCAACATTTTCTCTGTTCATCTTTGCATGCTATTTGGTGTTCTGAAGAAATGATACTTTTTCGATGGCTTTGATCATGAATTGCAATAAAAAAATACTAAAAATATCGATGTATTATTTATTCAACAGCTTGTAACATGCTGGCGATGTTCTCAAGCAAACCGAGAGGAACTAAACATACACGCTAAATATTATAATCAAGAAAAACGAAAAATTGTAATACTTATTCAAGTTTCACTCACTTACGTGTTTTCGAGTCGCAGGAACGATTGTAATAGGCGTAAGTTATTTAATGAATTAAAATAATGATTTTATTGAGCGATGATTATTACCTACTTCAAAATCTTTATGATAGAGCTTATACATTATTTTGAACTGCCGACGTTCGTTTTCGAACGTAAAACATTGTGTATTTCATTCAGTAATATAATGCGAATAGTACTGAAGTGCATGGCTAACGATCGTGTTACTTTCAGATGTGGATGCTTTTATTTGTATTCATATTTGTAGCACAATTTGTGAAAAATAAGTTTCCGAAATTTTTTTTATATTTACATTTCGAACTGTTAAAGTGCAGGTGTTACAAACATAAATGTTGTTAATCGTAATTAAAATTTTTGAAAACTATTATCAAAAGATTTAATTTTTGAATTGTTAGATTAATATCGCAGAAAAGTTAATGAATTTCCGATACAATTTTTATCGCGCTTTAATAAAATATAGCGATTTATCGGTGTGCTTACAATAATTATAAAAAACGATATACACTATTCAAATTTTTTCAATGCCACGAATTTGGTGATGTATAATCATTGATAAGGCAATATACGTATAATAATGTAATTCATTTTGGATGAATTTATTGACTGAATTGAACAGGAGCCGTTTATTGTGATTTTTAAAAAAAGTTAAATGTTTAATCATAGTTTACTTAATAAAAAAACCATAAAAAAAAATAAAAAAAGAAAAAACCACAGTATTTTTTGTACATATACAATACACTTGTTTGGCGAAGAGATTCCGTCGTTGGACGGCAGGTGTTACTATGTTTTATTGTCATTGGCTGTATGAGTGTTAATTAACTTAACGAAGTATGTTAATTAGATTAAAAAAATGAAAAGGCTTCAGTTAATACGTGGTTCCTAAAAAAACAATATACATGTACGATGCATAGCAAAATATAGTTAGAAAAAAATGGATGTATGTATGATTAATTTTTAACATTAAGAACATCAGCTATATTTCTTGCAATTGTTTTTTCATCAATATGAATATTGTATGTAAACGCAAACATCATTTGTAATTGTGAAAGTATGAACACCCTTTCATTGATAGTATTATAACAATTGTAAACATTTTTCTATTATACTTTTTACCCATGCGATAAATGGGTGAGATGTAATTGGGAAAAAAATAAACATCAAAACGTTAATTATTTGAAATCTATCTTTGTTTAAGAATATCATTATGATAATTATGATACTATTTCAATTTTAGTAATTATAATTACAGTAAATGATAATACTTTTATAATTTGAATAATTAATACGTTGATTAATCCATCTTTGAAAGATAAAAAAAATTATATCACATTCAATGGGATGGTATACTGTTGATCCAGTCCTAAATAGCAGTCAGACATCACGTAAAATTGTAAATCAATTTTTCCTAAAATATTGAGAAAACTATGAGTAAAAACATTGATAATTAACGAAATATGAAACTTACCTAAATTAGATGGTGGTATAAACGTTAGATAATGAGTCTTTCGATTATTTACTCCTGATATGCGCTTCAGAGCCCAGAGTTCGCGTTCCTTTATGTCGCCAAGTACCAAGAACCAGCCTTCGTCTTTGGGACGATGGAAACGTGGACAGTGCGCTTTTAATGACTTGGAATAATTTTTCCGTTTTGTGCCTACGACTAAAGTATACATATGATCCGCTTTAACATCGATATAATTACAAACGTTTCGCCTTAATTCGATTTTATTTTCAATGTGATCCTCAGAATCTGAACCATTTTGGATGCAAAGGTCCACCCATAAAATGGGCATTTCTTTAGCTACCTCTTGAATCTAAAAGAAAAATTAAATCATAGTTATACTTATTAATTTATTTGGATCAATGATTCAATTTACTCACTTTGTTAACTTGCGTTTCAATAAATTCCTTCAAAAATGTTTCATAAAAGTACCTACTATTCTTAGCCAAGTTAGAGCAAAATAGAGGAAGACATTTGGGAAATTTATCGAATAAATATAAATGCTCTTTCTCTACATTAGGCAGAGTCAGTAATGCTGACTCTTCAACCCATCTAGCTTGCAGTACCATTTGTAACAGCTGCATCACCTGGAGAGTTGATGATAAATGTCCTCGTTCGGCGACAACATCAATCATAGCCTGTTTCATACAATTCTATGAAAACTCGTTCTATCATATGATACAATATTAAAATTTCAAAATTTACCTGTAAAATACGTATTGACTGATCGAGAACGGATTTCAAATCTGTATAATAATCTGCACATGGCAAAGGTAATCTGGAAAAGTGCGCTTGTAGAAGCAGGAAGGCTTTCGTATTTGATGAGTCATACGATAGCGATTCAACTTTATATTTACACATTTTTGCTAATTCCCTGTAACGAATTAAATAAATTATCAATAACCAGATCTCACTTATATTGTATTAAAAATACATACTCGTTAAGTAAATCTTCGTTATGACGAACAGGTAATTCGTCGTATTCATGAGCATCACACATGACTCTCAAACATTCCTCTAACGATATGTTGTCCTGCAACTTTTCGTTGAACATGGCAATTGTTTGATGTGATAAATAATAGTATGAAGCTATCCTACCTAAAGGTAACGGATCTATAATTTGTGCGTCCTGAAAATAATCAACCAATAATTTCACCATAACGATTTTTTTTAATTTAAAAATTTAATTATAATAACCTCGTCGAAAAATGCACATTGCGAATCTATTAAAACAGCAAGCGTCTTATCAACTAAATTTGATAAGTAACTATTAACCATCTCTGGTTCCATGTCTTCCAAGTTGTAGTATCGAGGGTTTTTTAACAAACGCCTGAAAAAGTAGGTCCAGGTAAGATAATCGAGAAACTCTTGCTTAGTTTTGATCGTGCCAGCGACAATTTCAGCATTAATGTGATCTGGAAGGACGTCTAAAAGGCTAGATTCAACTGGAAAAGGCTCATACAAAAAGTGCTTATAAAAATTCTTCTTTATATCGTGTACGAGCACAACAGCAACACCAGAAGTATCAAACTGTGGTCGACCGGCACGACCCATCATCTGCAAAACATCTGTAATTGGCATGTCAACGTATCGTTTAGTCTTTCCGTCAAAATATTCGGTGCCCTTGATAACGACTAAATGAGCAGGAAAATTGACACCCCAAGCGAGGGTAGCAGTCGTCACGAGCACCTGTATTTTATTGTTGACAAATAACTCTTCGACGACCTGTCGATCTTTTTCCTCAAGACCAGCATGATGGAGACCAATGCCAAAAGCTAAGGTCAACTTGAGATTTGTATCTTTGATGCCGTCGAGTATGCTATCCATTTCTTCTTCGGGCATGTGCATCCATTGCTTTGGATCATTTTCAGCGGCCAAGTATGCTATAAGATCGAGGGCCGTGAGACGAGTTTGACGACGAGACGAGACGAATATTAACGATGGACTGTGTGGAGCATATTGACGAATAGCAGCAAAAGTTGGTTTGTTCATCGTTGCCATTCGTGGACAATAGTGCTTTCCAGCGAATCCAGATATGTGAACCTCCAATGGTACGGGTCGTACTGAAGGACGGAAATTGTACAAACCGGTCTGCAATAAATAAATTGTTTAATGATATTTTTCGACGAAACGAGAAGAAAAAAATTTGATCCGTAGACAATACCGAAGTGATTCCCAGCCAATTGCCCAAATCAACGGCATTAGCTAAGGCTGTAGACAACCCGATAATTCTCAAAGTTTTGGACGTGTGCGAGGCAATAAAATTAGTTCGAGATACAATGACTTCGAGTACGGGTCCTCGATCTTCACCGAGTAAATGTATCTCATCGATAATTATGAGTGCAACTTTTTGCACGTAATTTCTCGTTTGCCAACTTCGACTTATACCGTCCCACTTTTCTGGAGTTGTCACAATAACATCGGATGTTGAAATGGATTTTACGTCGGGTGTCACATCACCAGTTAATTCAACAACATTTTTATTGAGTACACCACCCAAACGTTTCGTCCAATCTTTCATACGTTCTCTCACGAGTGCTTTCAATGGAGCAATATATACCACCTAAAACGAGTAATTATTCAATTTTTTTTCAAGTTGATGTTTAAATTAATTCTTAACGTACTTTACGATCGGGTTCTAGCCTGAAAACTCTCATCATAGCTATTTCAGCGGCGATAGTTTTACCCGAACCAGTAGGAGCGCCCAAAAGCACATTGTTGTCCGTATGATATAGGCAATGAAATATTTGAGTTTGAATTGGATTAAAATGCGTAAATGAGTAAAGACTCTCGAACACCGGAGACTTCAGCGCGGACTTCGGCAATGGCATGAGTTCCAAGAGATCTGATAAAAAAAGTTTAATTGAGTCATTTTTTTCGTAGGTAATCATTGACTTTACTTACCAGTATGAGGAGGATGAGAATCAGGCAAAATCAAATCCGCAAGTTTTAGCGGCTCCCAATAACTGCAACCCAGCCAACGATCATTTATGGCTTTAACGATGTACTGATTAGGCAATGGTTCAGTCAAGGGAATCGTCATTACCAAATCTTGACCGGATTCGGTGATAACTTGTTTTTTTGTTAATTGAACGTATTCATAATGATAAATAAAACAACTTTCAGGATCTTCAATCCAGAGCCAAAAGTTTTCAGCTGTTTTCCCGTGAATTTTATCATTCCAAGTAAAATTGCCGATGATTTTTAAACGAATTCGAAGCACTGTGCGAGTAATAGGTTGTAACATGGCTTCAAATGTAATGCACGGGAACTCATTGCAACACTTCTTTACGAGAGCTGCTGCGCGTTGATTGCGAATCATAATACCTATATCAGTGACACTCAAATCTTTCAGCTTTTCAATGGATATATCGCGATCTTCAATTTTTTGTACGATTTCATAAGGTAGGCAGAAAAATTGACGAAGAGGACTCATGTGATCCCACTGTTGAAGTTCCAACATTTTAGCCATTTCGAGAATTCTACTGGCCATCAGCGAGTTGTGTTCACGAAGTTCCATTTCAAACAGTGCTCTGCATATTCTTACTGCATTCTGTTTAAAATATGGTAGATTAAATGCTTGTCAATTTGATGTACATTCGAAAATTTACCTGAGCAATATATGCCTGATCCGATATTAGAGAAAATGATTGCAATCGACCTTTCGATAAATAGGTCTGCATCAAGATATTGACTTTCCCGTGAATATTTTCTTTGCCTCCCTGTGCAGCAACTTCGCAATACTCGGACTGCAACGTTTCAAGCTCTTCCATTTCTTCTTCTCGAACTTTGAGTTGTTGAAATTCTTGCGAGCGCGATATCAAAGCCAATATATCAGCTTCCGTCATGGCAGGTTTCATTAGTTCGTTGAAAATTTCAATAGTATCATACTTTAGGTAGTAATGACTCGCCGTTCTACCAAGATCTGTAGCATTTAAATCACCGGTAGCGGTATTGTATCGTATCATTCGTGCTTTATCAAGATTCATAGCGGCTGTATGGATCAACTGTGTGCGCTTTTCTTCCAGATTAGGATCTCTGGCAAATGACGCGAGATCTAACCCGTATACGAGATGATTCAACTTCATTCGGACAAATAAATATGTATAGCTAAGCCACTCCACGGCTTCCCGGACATTTGATACAGTACCTAACACAATCTATTGAAAGAGAGAATTTCATCAACAGTCTTCTACATAAACTACTGACATTATAAAAATTTTGCAAAAAACAATTACCTCGGCGTTTAAGTTGTCAGCCAAATACGTAATGAAACTACTTTCGATGGGAAATTGATTTGTCAAAAGAGACAAATAGTGCGACAATTTGTTATGCGTTGTTATTATAGTGGCATGACCAGATGTGTCAAATTGCGGTCTGCCAGCACGCCCAAAAATTTGTAAAACATCCAGTATACCTAAGTCGACAAATGTTCCGTGCTTTGAGTCGTAAATTTCAGTTCCCTTAAAAACAACAGTAATTCGTTTCAAATTTTATCTTAGTAAATATGTAATTATCTATAGGATAAAAATTTGTTTTACTTTAATGATAACAGCATGAGCAGGCAAATTGACACCCCAAGCGAGTGTTGATGTGCAAACTAGTACTTTAATCATACCTTCGGCAAAATACTTTTCGACTAGGTTCCTAAAAATAATAATTGAGTCAATTTTCATGATGTGTCAACACTCTGTGGAATTCTTATATTTACCTATCGGTACGTAGCATGCCAGCGTGATGAACTGAGAATCCATGTTCGAATAACTCGGCCAAATATTTATTAGGGGATCGTTGAAACGCTTTTTGAGCTAATTTGTTGCTTTCATCAGAGACAAATAGAGATTGAGTTTGGTCTTTCATGGACAGTTCTTTGAGCACATTAGCTGTTCTTATTGTAGCATTTCGAGCGTGAACAAAAACCATGACCTGATGGCCTTGACTTACATGGTGGACAACTTCTTCATAGCACACGAGATCCATATCAGTCATTTGTTGCATTTGTTTTAAAGCTTTCACACCAACAAATGATTGGCTCAAGGGCACCGGGCGGAAACGATGATCAAAATAAAATAGACCTTTGTAAGGATTGACGCGTAAAAATTGTGCTACATCAACGTAATTTGGCAGCGTAGCTGATAAGCCAACAATTCTGATCATGCTCTGAGACGATTCTACTTGTCGAAGTGTTCGAGCTACGAGAGCTTCGACTACGGGTCCACGATCTCCATGTAATAAATGTACCTCGTCAATGATTAGTAATCTAACTATTCTTGTAAGTTCGACATCGCCAGTACCTTTCCGAGTAACAACATCCCATTTCTCGGGGGTTGTTACTATCATTTGTGTTTTTAATATTTCTGATTTTGTTAATTGCATATCACCCGTTAATTCTCTTACAGTTATTCCTAAACTTGCTAATCTAATGGAATTTAAATGCAAATTCAATAATTAATCCAAGAAGAAACTGTTTCTATTGCAATAGAAGAACTTACCTTTTACTAAAGTTAGCTGTCATTTCTGCAGCTAAAGCTTTCATTGGTGCTATATAAACAATTTTAAAGTCATTAGTTTGTAAAACACCATTGTCAATATGCTGCTTAATGCAGTAAACAATTGACAACAGGGCTACATTTGTTTTTCCTGCTCCAGTTGGAGCACATATAAGTAAATTTTCGTTGGTGTGATAAGCTGCATCAAAAACTATGCTTTGAATTCTATTCAAGGATTTGATTCCCTTAAACGCAAGTTTTCCTATCTAGAAAATACAATAAAAAAATTTATTTTTTGTCTACAAAATTAAAATAAATATTTATAGCACTAACTTCATCTAGAGTCTCAATAGCCACAAAATTATTTCCAATATTTAGAGGTTTTGGTTCTGGTACTGGAATATCAACTCGTTCAGAGATTTTTGAGTCAACTCTAATAACATCTTCAGAGAGAACCATTTGTTTTCCTGAAATAAAACCTGCAACAAGGATGAGCTATAATCACAAGCCTTCCAATTTATTGAAGAAAAAATAATAAAAATAAACCATATGTACCTGCAGATGTTTTAGCATCTAATTTTGAATCAAATACAAATGGATATCTTTTCTGAGGTACTGTAGGCAAGTGAATGATCTTTTTTGGAAAAAGTGGTTCAGCTTTTGCCTTCAATGCTTCTTTTTTCGTAAATTGTAGCCGTTTTAAATCAATAATTTCATCATCAATTTCATTTTTTTCTAATTTATTGGCCACTTTCTGCAATTTTTTTTCCTCTTTACGCACTTGTTTCATTAATTGTTTTTCTTTTTCTGAGTGTACAATAACTTGAGACGCTATTTGTGGTACTTTTTGTTGAACGGCTGAAAAAAACATAGGTACTATTAATTACAATTATAATAAAATGAAATAGAATAAATCATATTTGAACAATGCTTACACGTATACGTTTTAGCCACTATTTGATTGCTGAACCAAGCTATTATTTGCTTACTATGCTCTATTAAATATTCTATGAAATGTATTTTATCGAACCCCATCAAGTCAACTAATTCACTCTGTGCCAGTGAAATATTTTTTAATTTATCTATAATAAATCTTTCAAATTCATCATAAGACATTGTCTCTTGATATTTTTTGTAGGCTTCAGCCAACTCTTTAGAATAATATTTTCTATCAAACTGAAATTTTAGTTTTGAGATATAATATACATATGAATGTCAAATATATAAAAATATAAAAAATACAAACATCTGATTTTTTAGCTACTGCTGTAATTGGTATTGGAACTTTTGTTGATTTTGTTTCTACAGGTGGTAATGTCAACCATCGATCAACTCTATCAGGCGATAAAGCTCTACCTGTCATATGATCATCTCCAAGATATTCATCATCTTCTCCCCAGTCATACATATCAGGATCACATGTGAAATTAGTATCATATAACTCTGAACAGCGTGAATAACTGGCTGATGATCCTTCTAAGCTATTTCCATTTCCACTTTCAAGATTTAAAATTAATAATAAATCTTCATGTGTTATTTTTCTTCTAATATTTTCTGCAGTCTTATAAAAATTTGAATGGATTATTATTTGGATTTAAACAATGAAAATATGAGTAAGTACGATAAAATGATTTGCATCAGTAGCTAGCTACCTGTGTCATTTCATTAATTGTGCTTTGGTCTAACTCCCCCAATGTTTCCTTCAGTTCTAGTATTGATTGTTCACTAACAACCTTATCTTTAATTAAAAATCTTAATGAAGTAAGTGCTAAGTGATCAATAAGTTCTGGACCCTCTGAAAAGTTCAAATTTAGTAACATGAGTTTAGTATGATTGAAGATAATTTTCTTATCATATTTACCACATAATTTTGATAATAATTTTGATACAATATTGTTAAATTTCTTGAAGAAGGGTATAGCATCTTTGGACACCCTTTCAAGAATTTCATTCCACTGGAGATTTCTGAAAATAAAAAATTAATTCCTCAAATTTTCAGCTCATCAAGTTTTTTTGTTGCTAATCATCCATGTTGTCAAATTAAAAAAAAAATACATCAATGTCAATTACAACATTCACGGCAATACATAGGAATTTGCAATCAGTAACCTGTGTTGCCTCGATGCAGTTGTGCTCGTAGAGGCACCATCTCGGCCATTGACATCTGCACCATTTAACCCGTTTGAGATGTGATTATCTTGCTGTGGAAAATTGACATAATCTCCAAAATTCGAGTTACGATCTATGGGAGTCCCATCGTGCTTTTCTTTATGTTTCTTGGGATCCACCATTGTGATCACAACATTCGGCACAAAATAATAAGAGCGGATAGAGTTTGTTATACTGCACGGGCGCCAAGTAAGAATTGCACCGAAAGACTTGTTGTGCAGTAATGTTGGCTATTATAAAAGCGACTGCCTGTTTACAGTCGACAGACGTCTTGTATCGTGCAATGCGATCAGCGAAATGCCTAAGCACGTGCGGAGTGCACAATGGGAAACTGCCAAGTGCAAAAATCAATCATTCAAAAAAACGCGCAGATGTAAATAATTTATAAACTGGCGTCGTTTTATTATTTTGATAAATGAAAATAATAATAAACTGTCATTTCATTGGGCACTGAGACACACCGAATTATATGCGTAAACTAATAAATTTAATCATGCTATGTGGTTTTGACAATTTTACAATTCAAATTTGTCACTCATTATTCACATCTAAATACTTTAGTTAATTTATGCATTCAAATATTATTAGTAACTGATTATTTTATTTTTTAATTATATTTTAATTAATTATTGGAAATCATTCGGAAAATCCAACGTTTTTAAAAATAAGGATAAACATTGTTGACGCATGCGTTAGCAAAATTAACCTCAATTTTTATAGTATCAGTCATCAGCTGTTTATTTGCGCGTCCTAAAGCAGCCGCCGAAGTAAACGGATTCAATGCGGTCTCAGACCATCGTTGTCAAAGTTATTTTACTTGAGAATTCTGCTTAATTTTTTTAACTTATTCAACTTTATGAAAGCTACGATATAAAGTGTAGATAAAAACTCACCAAGGTACATCATATTTTTGTACTTCCTGAAATATTAGGCATTAATGGCAGAAAATTTGTTTTCTAGCAATGAGAATATCGGATGACCGGACTTTATGTAAATGAAGGAAAAACTGCTTTTTAGATTTAAACAAACTTAAACGTAAAAAAATAAGTTAACAAAATGTCTCTATCGCCGAAAGACTTGGCGAAGCTCATGGATCTTCTGGATGAGGATACTAACGCTAGCACATCGTTAGAAAGTTTATCGAATCAATTGCACACGATTTTTCCAAGAGAAGAACGTTTCAAAGTTGGAATGACCTTACTTCTTTTGCTACAACATGTAGATTTACTTCCAAGAGAGTTGCAAAGAATAATTGCTGTAGCCATGTTATTTGATCTCTATAAGGGTGAACCATTGGCCTCAACACCCTTTGCTTCTGTAAGTTATCTCACTTGAAATAATCATACATTTTTGAATCTTTTTTGACCAAACTGTGTAATTTTCAGGTATTTGTATATATACTAAAAATTCCGGGAGATAATCTTGATAAAACTCATTTTTCTGGTCACATTCCTGTTTTATCAAGATGTGAAAAATATTTAATAGCTAGTTTAATGGGTTTTGGCTACAAAGAGATGATGAAAAAAAATCCAAGACAAATAATAGAAGAGCTTTATCCCCTTCCAAATCCACCACCTTGTGATTCTACTGAATTGCAATTGAAATTATCAGAGCGTTTTTCTGAACTACCAGCAATTGAAAAATGTGGAAATCCAGTTATTATCTCTGACAGTATTGACAGACCAAAAGTGGGAATCACCAATAACGAAGATTCAAAAAATACAAGTAAAAGTATATTAGAAGAATTAGTAGTTGGAGATCCTCCAGCTTATGCCCAAAGTTATCAGCCAGAATTTTTAAGACCATCTCCTCCTTTACTAAAATCTACCCTTGATGAGATACCATGGATGAATGTCATAGAACCAAGCCAATTTGAATTAGAATATGATACAAGTATGTGTGTTTCTAATTGTGCTGGAGCTGAAGCAAGAAGACTCATGGGTAGAGCTTTTAAAAGTGTACTAACACTGCAGCAGCAACAATCACTTGTTACTGAACTTCACAAGGATCCAAAACTTGTGTATCATATAGGTTTAACACCTTCTAAATTACCTGATTTGGTTGAAAATAATCCCTTAATAGCTATTGAAGTACTTTTAAAGTTGATGCAATCCAATCAAATTACTGAATATTTCAGTGTATTGGTTAATATGGAAATGTCATTACATTCTATGGAAGTAGTCAATAGACTAACAACTACAGTTGATTTACCTACAGAATTTGTTCATCTCTATATTAGCAATTGTATACAAACTTGTGAGACAATCAAAGATCGTTACATGCAAAATCGACTTGTCAGACTTGTTTGCGTCTTTTTACAATCCTTAATCAGGAATAAAATAATTAATGTTCAAGAACTATTTATTGAAGTACAAGCTTTTTGTATAGAATTTAGTCGAATTAGAGAAGCAGCTGCTCTATTTAGATTGTTAAAGCAACTTGAATCTGGTGACACTGCTGGACTTAATGCAGCACCACCAACCAAAAAATTAGAGACTAATTAAATTAGTTAATAATTATTTTATCATAAGTTCAATCATTATCTACCAGAAAAAATGTTCTTGAATTGTCAAATTTCAAAAATCTACGATGTACTTTCTCAAGAAATTTGACTTTGATGTTCTGTAAGATTTTTTTAAAAATAATTGGTATTTATGAACGAAAAATGAAAAAACTCATGTTATGAAACATGTTAAAGTATTCAAAGAAAGTTATTATTTATATTAAAGTGAAATAGTAAGTAAATACTACAATTTTTTTTTTGATATTATCAAATTGATAATGTTTTGGGAAATTCTGAACACGTCAAAAAACTAGAAAACTTACATCATATATAAATCTGTAAATTCAGTTATAAGTTCATGGAATAAAATAAAATAGCTTTATTTATACAATTTTTATTATTATCATTTTTTTTTAATAACATGATTTCTTCAATTTTCTACTTTTGCAACGGGGCATAGGAATTATTGAATATACAAACAGTACAAATTTTTTACATAAGTGCTCTGAATTTCAAATTTAATCCAATTTATCAGTCAAGAAAAGTACTCCAAAAATGGTTTAACAAGATAATAATTAAACCTTGACAAATTTTCGAAACATGTTTCATATGTTACAAGCACAATTTAAATTTCATGAACATACAAGGACTTTCGAAAAGTTTGTTTTCTCACTACTCATCACGAGTATCATTGAAATTACAATCACAATCTAAATTCTAAACTTTGAAATAATAAAAAACGAACAATTATTAGTAAAGATCTTTTCTATAATATACCATCACATACAAAATTTGTACATATATACATATAGTATAGAATCTTCTAAATTGAAATCTTAAAAAATTCTAAGTATATAAATATTACTTAAGAAATATAAGATCACTATGCTATATTATAACAATATTTAATTTACTCTTAACCGTGCAAGGTTAAATTTCTCAATTGCATTCTTAATAATACTATTTACAAAATTCATCTATAACTTTTTACATGCATGTATTCATCACAACAAAACAGCAATCATGTTTTTTGAGCTGTCATAAAATCTTCAAGAAATTCATGTGCTTATGCTAGGTAGTTTTTTCGGTACTTCTTTATTTAACTTTCGCATAAAACACTTCAAATCCTTCTTCGTTTGTTTCGGTTCGATAATTTTATCAACTTTACCAATTTTACTAAGTTTATTTATTTTACTTCTCGATTTCATTTTAAATTTTTCAGATGCAGCAGCAGTCATAACAGATCGAGCCTTAGGCTCAGTCGCTTTATACTAATCATCCAATTTTTTCTTCTTTCTTTTTTTCTTCTTTTTGTCGTTGTAGGTGGCTTGCTTTTTAACTATACAGGGTTTACAGTACCAATTTTCATTCTCTGCCGGAGCTATTTGAATATTCACGCAAGTCCTAAAAATTAAAATAACATGATTTAAAAATTCCAATTTTGAATAAAAAATCAGATTTTCTTATTCTTACCAATGATACCAAGCATCACAGTCATCGCACCCAATCATAGGCGAACCATCGTCCTGCTTTTTGCAACCAGGGCAAATCCAAACTGTTAGACCTGTAGTCTGATCCTGTTATAGTTAAGGAGTTACAATTTTTATTCTCAAAAGTTTTATGAAAGTAGAATTTAGCTCAATCCATCTAATAAAAGCTTAGAAACTTGAGCTAATTGAAATTGTGCTCAGCATAGAGTTAAAAATTGAATTTATCACTTCTTTTTGCATCACGGTAATTTTATCATTATTTTTGGAGGGACAATGAAGGTCGATGAAGATGATGAAATGTTGATGTAGAATCGAAATGAATTGATCTTTCAGTATTATCGATTTTATAATTTCAAGTGAGAGAATTTGATCCCCAATGATAAGTAAAGCGAATAATATGTGGAAGTTTTTATCATCATACTCTCGATATCGATAATAGTAATTCCTGTACGCGCAGCTAAAATTTGAAATTTTGTCGTCTTGTAAACATTCTCGTTTACTTACCACTGTCACGCCAGGATGAGAAAGCGGTAAAGCGAGAATTCCGTTTTCTTTATCTTCTTTTGTAGCCTCTTTTTGGGATGCGTTGTCAACTTTAGACTCTGTACCACGAAAACGATAGTCTTTCTTTAGTTATAACTAATTTACACTTTTTTTTTGTAATATTATTCAAACTACTTCATGCCAAACGTGCTACACCGTAAAACCATTAAATAAATACGGTCAATAAAAAACTACAGTTTCACAGAATTATAATCGCTGTGATAAAAATAAATGCTACAAGAAAGTAAAGACAAAAAAGAATAAGCTGTGAATTATCGCCAATCGTGCTAAGTTTTAAGACGATTTAATTTAATCAAATTCTAATTAATAATAAAATGTGCGGAAAATATGAAGTAATTCGTTCAGAAAAAGCGTCAAGTTGAGATCTTTTTTTTTAAAACTACAATTGCTTTTCATTCACTACAATATATCTTTGATCGATGATACCAAAGTTATTAAGTTATCGTAAAATAAAATTCATTATAAAGCTGAACAATCTGAAGACCTTGACCATTTCACAATCAAACAATAAAACGATTTAAGAAATTCTAGATCATGTAAGAATAATGTTTGTAGACGAATAAAAATGTAAATGAAGAAAGACACGAGGAAGTGACAAAAGAAATCGAAGCCATCACCTATTAAAAGATGTTGAAAAATATAAAGAGAAGAAAAGAGAAAGATGAGATGCTCTAATAAAATCAGTGATTACAACAAAAGTCATGTATGGATTTTGATGAGTTTTAGGAAAAGAGTTAGGATTATTTTCTTCTGTTTCTTTTTATCTTTTGACGCTCATTAGATGGATTGGCCAAAATTGTTGCCATGGAACGTAATTAACGAACGTTTAATTGTTAAAGAATTACAATCTTTTTTTTTTGCCAAAACAATTCAAGTTTACTAAAATAATTAAAGGAAATTTAAAATCTGTAATTAAATCAGTACTATTTCTTCAAGTATGTCACCAGAATTTAAAGTAGTATCATTTATGTTCCATGACTTTTTGTTTTAAAATGTTCTAAAATACTTACTGTATAACGGAATTCCGTATTCTTTTGTGTCTCATAAGAAGAATTACTGTAAGATGTATTGAAAGTAGGAAAGGATTTAGAAGGTGAGGGCTCTCGTACAGGTAATGCTTTGAATATGGGTTTTTTCATGTGGGTCATGGGAGTGTGGTTTGTACTAGAAAAACAAGCGTCTGCCAAACCAGTATACGTTATTTCATCCTCCATTCTCTTACTTGACTTCTGTTTAGGTGGTCTTGTCACTAGAGCCGATATCCTTGCAAGCTCAGGAGCTGGTTCATTTTTAACTTCTTCTTCGGGCTTTTTCGGAGGTTTTATCGTTCTAAAATCGATGATAATGCAAAAATAAATAAAATTATTTTAAATAGTAAAGTAGTCAATTTCTAAAATCTTCACATACATTTTTTTAGTTAAGGCACTATCAGGTGTGGGAGGTCGAGGAGAACCTCCAGCTGGTCCCAATTTGAGCGTAATTTTGGGAACACCTTCAGACATTTTATCTTCTCTCTACAACAAATAAGTTAATAATAAGTTTCACGTGTACATTATTTAAAATAAGTCATAACGACACTTACGAGTTTTTTCAATGCTTCCTTCTCTTTTTTCTTCTCCTTCTTTTCTTTCTTTTCCTTAATTTTTTCCAATTTATCTCTCTTATCGCTTTTATCTTTCTTTACCTTTTCTTTTTCGCCTTTGTCTTTATGTTTCTCTTTTTTCTCTTTCTTCTTTTTCATCTTATCTTTCTTTTCTTTTTTGTGTTCTTTCGATTTCTTTTCCATTTTATCAAGCTTCAAAGATTTTGATGACCCAGGTGTCGATAGATCCGGAGGCAATAGTGGTGCTGGTACATTGGGAGAAATTAATACAGAGGACGCCGGAACGAGAGGTGCAGGTACTGTAGCTGAATTGTTAATTGAAGGAATTGGAGTTTGTGGTGTATGAGACGTCGAAAATGGTGCTTTGGTTTCCATTCGATCGCCAGAATTACTTATTCGTATTGATGATACTCCTGGCTCTTGATGCATTAAAGGAGTATTATGCTGGAGAGGTGGCCTGAAGAAACGAGGTCTCATATTGTTCAGCATACCCGGCATTGCTGCTGTATTAGGTGGTCCCATCATTAAGGGAAATACAGGTTGAGGAATCAATCCAGGCGCTGTCGGTTGGAAAAATGGGAAAGGCATTGTAGGAGGTATTGCTCCTTTCGCTGCAGCTGCAATTATGGCTGCATTTGATACTGCTGAGGACACATCCGATACTTGAGGGGTTTTTGGGCGATCCAGTAGATCGGGGTTACCCATAAAATCTGTAGACACGCGCATCTGAAACGTTTCGATTAAAAAATTTTCCCGTAAATATGTTTAGTTATTTAAAATAAAATAAATAATTTATAAGTAATTTTACCTTCTTAGAATTAAGAGCGGTTTTAATCTTTGGTATCTTCTTCTTTTTCTCACTTTTTTCTTTCTTTTTCCTTTTATTTGATGGTGTATTGTGATTGAGTATTGGCGTTGAAGTATTAGAAACACTCAAATCAGAAGATTTCGGTGTACTTGGAGGGCTAGGTAGTGATGGATTTTCATGTACGCAACCATCTGAATCCGTTTCACTACCTGTTTTTGATGGAACATTGTCGTGAAGCATACTATTGTTTAAAAGAGATCCTTTACGATCCTCTTCTTTAATACTAGATACTGTTGAAAGAGGCGATGAATCTCTGGATCTTGGCTCAACTTTTGGCCTTACAAAGGATGGGCTTACATCTCGTTCCTCTTTAGGTTTCGAAATTTTCTTAAGAATATTAAGTTTCTGTTTGTTAGGTTTAATAGGCAATTTATCAACAACTTCGTCTTTGCAACCATTTAATGAATCGAATTTATTCGATTTATTAATTTCTTCATCAAAATTCTTATCTGTTTTGATAAAATTGGCTTGCATGAAATTTTTGAGATTTCTTGCACTTTCACTGAGATCTATACCTAAAATAAAAAAGTAATTAAAATTGATACCATAAAGTAAAAAGTATAGAGCATTTGAATTAGTAGATTTCAAACGTTACAAAAATAGAAAAATTATTTTACCTGCATTGGAACAGCCAGGAACTACAGGAGCTGCTCTTGCATTCGATTTTATTGCTTTAGGTTTGATAAAATCTTTTGTAGAAACCTTTGAATCAGAAACTTCATCAGCATGGAGTTTTGGTTTGAATAATGTACTCTCTTTAGGTATTCTTTTCTTTTTTGTATCTTTAATTTCCGGTTTAACATTTTCCAACTGTTCAGATAATTTTTTAGGGATTCTCTTGAGTTTTTTTTCCACCTTGATTTCCGGTGCAGCTACAATGGGAGGATCATCTTCACATGGTTCATCAACTTCATCACCTTCAACAGGTTCTTCAACTTGCTCTTGGTGTGGTGTTCTAGATTCAGGGAGTTTACCTTCCCGTGCAGTAGAAAGGAATCCAGACGTGGTCATCATTACACTTCGAATTTCTCGTAATGGTCTTCCTCCATCTCCACTTTTTTTAATACGTTTAGATGAAGGACTCTCTAAAATGCTTGGATCGCCTGGTCTCTTGAAAATACCTTGTGGTGATGCTTTGTTCAAACTATCATCACTTGCTGTTCCATTTTTAGTAATTGAAGTGTTATTCTCTGCACCATCATCTTCTGACAGATCAACAGATTCACTTGCATTAGACATTTTTTCAGCATCCAATTCTTTGTTTTCTTGTTCATATTCTTCTGTAAAAATTATTTATATTTAGTTTTCGATAGTCTAAAATGTATAGATAATTATTTCACATAATTATGTGATTTATATAAAATATCTTAAACAAAATAGTTTAAAATTTTATAACAAAAAATTAAATGATTATATTATGAAAGGAATTTTAGATTCATTTAAATATTATTATGATAATTGAAGTAAAATTGTATTGATTATTTTACCTTCATCTTGTGGATACATTGCAGGTAAATGTTCATGAACATGTCTAGGTCGAGTAACTACCTCTCGACTTCCAGGTTTTAAGAAATTCAAATGATTTTCTCTTGCCACAGGCAATTTTGGTACAGAAATGGCACATGGTACTGATTTGATATTTTTTACATATTCCTCTAATTCACCTACATCAACATTCAATTGCTGAAATGCTAAACCCAAATCATCTAGGTTTACCTCGTTTCTACCCACTAAAAAATTGAATTATTGAATAATTATTGATATTTCTTTGTTTTCAAATTAAATTTTGAATTTCAAACCACGTACAAGCTGTGGCATATTGAGAAGTAACTTTAGAGACTTGATACATATACTCTTGCAGAAGATCAACTAAAAATTCCAGTGGCGTCGAAAGTGTAGAATGCCATCCTACGTTCTGAGCAATCTGTGCCACCACCACTTTTAGAACCGACCTTGTATACTCAGAAGTCATTTTGATTCAGTATCTGTAAAATTATAATTTAGTTGTTAATTTAATAATAATTTAATTGCAATTCTAACAGCAATATTCATCGATTAACTATTTAAGAAACTAATCACAAATTAAATACAAATTTTGACAATTTAAAGCAATATATGCTTTCATCATATATCACTTAACTTGTACACTTATATAGAAAAAAATAAGATATGACCGTATATGACATTGAGAAAAAATAATTCTAAAACTTGTTTATACAATATTTTCACTGTCAATCAATTTCAAACTTCATAATTGAATAATTCAGTTTTGAATAATATAGTAGCATAAATCTATTTCAACATATAGGCTAACCTAAATCTTAAAGTTATTTGATTTCTTCTTGTATAAGAAATTCGTCTTATTACTTTATACTTTTTCAACACTTGAAAAAAGAATCAAAGCCAAAATTTTATTTATCATAAGGATAAAAAATATTGGAGGACTATTTACTAATTCAAAATCATATTTAACTGTTTGTTTTATTTTTTTTTTTTACAAAGAGTTACAAAGAGTAACAAGAAGTACACATGATAAAAGGTCTTTAAAAGCCATAGGCCATCTTTAAACATCGTTTAATAAGTGTGGCAACTGATAGAACACAATTTTCATGAATGAAAACCCAAACAAAATGTACACATGACAGGTACAACAAACTGACTCTATTGCATGGTTATCCACACTGTTGTGGATTTTGTAGTGCAGCAACCTCGGGTAAGAGTGTGACCAGTAATGCGAGGTAATGCAAGTGTGATTGATTCAAAACAATAAACATACAGATGTCGAAGAAGAAAAACACTCATTTCATTTTTGTCAATACGTTGTGATAATGTTACGATTGATAAAATTGAGTACATAATCATTCACTTACAAAGTAGTGTGAAGCAATGAGGCACATTGATAATTAACGTGTGTCTTGGAATCAAAACACTGTAAAACCAACAACAATCACGTAGGCGCCGAGTTACACGGTCAAATAAATGAATCTATTGACAATCACTACTCGGGGCCAAGTGATGTGCGTCGTTGTTTACAAAGAAACATGGATTTGTGGCGTGGGTAAGCCTTCCTTATTCCACGATCAAGACTCGATGCGTCTCGTGTTCACGACGGTGTGGCCGCCATCTTGATCAGTGGTGGACTGCTCGGCTGCTCTAGGCTTTGGCCTGGCTGACGCGTCAAGCGAGCGCCGCTGCCGCACTGAATTCACATCGCACCTACGGCGCATACGCAAGATGGCCTTTTCTGTTAAGTGGGGGTGACTGGCGGCTGACAGTGACCACTAATGCAGTTACCATTTTAACGCCGTAGCAGTCGATCGTCAACATCGGCGTATCGGCGGCGTGTTTAGGTTGAATTTGACTTTTGAGCGAGCAGGCGAGCGTGTCGATTGTCGACAGTCGAGACATAACATAGCAAGTACATGACACAACGACCCCCCTCTGTATATGCTTGTTTGGGCTTTCGGAGCAACAAACTTTACTGCTCATGAACATGTTAGAAAAGCCGCACGACGATTGGGACACAGTTATTTGAGTAGCAGATTATCCTTTAAATTGTAAACTTATTCTGCGTCACTTTAGAAATGATAATTTGCTCGGCACTGTCTTCTCATTATTTCAACGTGTTTACATAAACGAAAAAGATGTTGTGACCTACGTCCTAAAAGCTGTCACGCCTTTTCGTTGCATGAAACTCAACAGTTTCTCAACATTGTGATTCATCTAATAAAACGAGGTGCTTTAGTCTCTTGTTTAGTAAATACGCTGAGATAGGGTTTATCAGTTTATAACCTGTTGGATTCCGGCCGGTACTTCAATTAGCGAATTAAAATATAATTATTTTGTTATGATCTAGTGATTAAATCATTGACCCTTAATTGTTTACAGTATATTTTTCAGTATTATAAGGTTTTGCAAGATGATTCGTGCCCAGGATGTTTTGTTTACCAAGTATTTGTACATTACTTATGTTGTAGGATTGTATTGGTAAAAAAGATCAGACATTATATTGATAATTAAAAATTTTTTGTGTAAATTAATTTATACATTTTTATTCAGGATCGTTTCTATATCAATGGTATTTGTCAACAAAGCTTTACTATCAAGTGATAAAATACATCTTGATGCTCCTCTTTTTATTACATGGTTCCAATGCTTAACTTCAGTTGGAATTTGTGTAACACTAAAGTTCCTTTCGAAAGTATCACCAGATAAGTTCTCATTTCCAAAGGGAAATCCTTTTTCTCGTGATATCATTAAAAAAGTCAGTATATGCTTAGAGTAGTTTTCAAAAATATATATTTCTATTTTAATTTATAAAATTATCACTTTTATTAAAGATACTACCCTTGTCATGTCTGTTTATTGGCATGATAGCAAGCAATAATTTATGTTTAAAGCATGTTGGAGTTGCATTTTATTATATTGGTCGATCTCTGACAACAGTATTCAATGTAGTTTTCACCTACTTAATATTGGGTAAGTTTTAATGTAATAAATTTCTTATTGCAGTACATAGTTGATATGTTGATATTTGAAAATGTATTTTTCAGGAGAGAAAACATCAAAGAAGACAATTGTTTGTTGCTTAATTATAATTTTTGGATTTTGGTTGGGTGTTGATCAAGAAGGTGTGGCTGGATCTTTATCCATTGTCGGGACCTTCTTTGGGGTTCTAGGATCCTTGACTTTATCACTATATTCGATTCAAACTAAAAAAGTACTTCCTTTAGTAAATCAAGAAATTTGGTTGCTGTCTTACTACAATAATCTCTATGGTGTTTTTCTTTTCATACCATTAATGATGATCAATGGAGAATTAAATGTTGTGTATGAGTATGACAGAATAGCTGATTTACATTTTTGGGCTGCTATGCTTTTAGGTGGTATTTGTGGTTTTAGTATTGGATATGTAACTATGCTGCAAATCCAAGTAACATCTCCTTTAACTCATAACATTAGCGGAACAGCAAAAGCCTGTGCACAAACTGTTCTTGCTACTTATTATTATAATGAAAGTAAACCATTTTTATGGTGGTTAAGCAATTTAATAGTTCTTTGTGCAAGTGCTGGATATGCAAGGATAAAACAATTAAGCATGGTTCAACAGATGTCTAAAAATATTGCTTACAGTAAAGTGTGACAAAGTTCAATATAATGAACGAATAAATTATGACAGTTTAGTTATATAAAAATCAATTGTAAATATATTGTATATGTATACAGATATAAATTATATGAATAAATTTTAACCAATTTAAAATATTAGACCAATTGAGCTTTTGATCACTTCATTGAGTTTCTTCAATTACATAACTTTTTCTTACATTGTATCAATTTTTGTACAAAACGTTTGTATTTATTTACAGTCATTTCTAAGTATTTACACATGGTTTTTACCAGTTTATAAATGTTATTTTTTAAAATCTTGATGCTAGACCATCACCTCTACTATCAGAGTGACCACTGATCAAATTTTTTCTTTTTATTATCACATTCACACTTTTCATTATCATTTCAACATCAGTTGTAGATGTTTTATCTATTGCTAGTAAACTGTCATGTAAAAGTCTATTACTTGATTGTCGTTCATCTTTTTCAACAGCAATACCATCAGATAAAACGTAATACCTAAAAACATATCAATAACATCAATTGTGATTATTAATTACAACACTTATGTTTTAAATACTTTTATACATGTACCTCGCATATTCTATAGCAAGTGAAACATTCATTGAACGTAAAATCAAATTATATAAAATTTGTCCAGCCACTATAGCATCATCAGAACTAAAAACACCACGTAAACCACATACAGCTGTTTCATCATGAAAAATTATTGGTGTAAATGATAACAAAGCATCCTGGTTTGTGATACTATCAAAAGCAAATCCAGCTTCAGTCTCATAGTTCACATCAAAATGTGAGCCTAAACCCCTATTATAAATTCAAAGATATGTTAGTGTGGATTTCAAAGTTAATGTTTTTATTTTTGTAAAACTATACTTGAAACTTACGTAATAACTGTAACGTATGTATCTTGCCAGTCTACAGCAGATACTCCTGTATATTTTCTTGCTTCAGCTGTGAATAATATTTTTGATTATATAAATTGTAGAATTATAATTTTAGAAACAAAATATATTTAACAATATTCTTACTGTATTTGATATAAGGATTATTTAATTGACGCATCAGTTTAATAATCGTTTCAGCAGTTTTAATTTCTGACTCAATTGAAGAAGCATTTTCTTTTGAAATGTTCAATTTATTCATTTCTTCAATGATTGGTTGGGCATAATTTGTAGTAGACGGATAAAATATTGCAAACTGAGACAGGATTGATTTTTCAGCTTTCATAATGCTTGGTTCATAGCTGGCAAGCTCATTGAATAACTTGTCATTATTTGTGTAATTTGATAAGATTCTAGAACTAAGAGTTCCGTTGTAAAAAGCTGAAATGAAGTTTTTGTATTAAAAAAAAATTTTATATTAATACATGCATATTTCAAAATCTTCAACATGAACTATAACAACAATTATAATTGATAAAGCAAGCAGCATATTCTTTCCATTTTGACAGTTGTGATAATGAAAAATATATATGAATAATTAAAAATGTTCATAGACATAGTTAATGATATAATACTTAAGTTTTAAAGAATTTTCTAATAATGCAATTCTATTATTAATCATAATCTATAACTTACCGTCGGCTCCAAATTGTGACACAATCTGTAAAGTAGAAGCCAGTTTAGGTATTTTCAGAATTTCACCGGCATTAGATGATCCAAAACTTCCAAGATCGCTATTTTTTGTAGCTTCATTAGCATAATCTCTTGAAATTTCAAATCCATTTTTTGCTAAGTTAATTGATGGTTCAACAAGATCTTGCCAAGGTAATTTTCCTTGAATATATTTATGAGCATATTCCAATCCTCGAAGTAGAGCTGGAATTCTAATTTTATTCTTTTCAAATTCATCTGAAAAATTGTTATTCTGTTAATTAGTTGGCACAAGAGAGAATGATATATTTTAATACCTGGTATAAGATTATTTAAAAAATCTATAATTATTGGTTCTTCTTGGTCTTTATGATTGTATATCATAATATAGCCTCCACTAAAACAGCAGATATAATATTTTGATTTCAACAGTTCAATAAAGACAATACATTTTGTTTAAATAGTAATGAATAGTAATATGAATTTTAATTCAAATAGTAGTAAAGTAAATTTGAATAACCTTCCAAGGCTAGCTTTATGTGGAGCTACTACAGCCATACAAAGTGTAGCAGCTATAGCAGCATCTAATGCATTTCCACCTTTCCTCAAGATTTTAGTCCCAATTTGAGAACAGTTAGTGTAATCTGTAGCAACTGCACCATGGATGTTTAAATTTCCCTAGAAATTATATTATCATTCAATAAAAAAAGTATTCCAATTGCTATTAGAGATTATCAACATGTATTAAACCTGAAATGCATCATCATCATAAACTAATTGAAGAACCAGGGCAAGTGTTATAACAAATGTTAGGCCTATGAATGAACATATAATGGCTCGAAAGCCACAACAGTCATTTAAAGACCAATTTGCCTTTTCTTTTGTCAATGGACATTCTTCACTCGGAGTTTCTAGAATTCAGGCAAAAAGTATTATTAGTCAGTTTTTCAGTCATTTTAATATGTAAAAATTACGAGTATAAATTTACTCACGTCTAATGTAATTCATCATGGTAAATAGTCAGTCACTGTTAGTTCATTCTCAAGCAAAGTAACGATGCACATGTGCTATTTAGACGCTTGACTTGCTGCACACACATCGAAGTGTCATCGAACTTTTTCAAAGAACCGTTAATCGCTTGTCTGACCAGTGTTTGTAAAAAACGGGCGAGGACGTTTTTTCCACATCTCCCACTTTCGCTTATTATTTTTATTTTATGTTCAAATAAAATCTGAAAGCACTAGAAAACGAATCACACATTATTTGACTGAGCGCGTTTGCGCCATGTACATCATAACATACACAATCAGAGCGCGTGGGTTTGTTTTGCCTATCTATACCTAAACAGTAAACCTGCAACACTGCTTGTGCTATACATATGTGCATAATCTGAATAACAATAACAATAATGACAACGCTGTGTTTCGAGCTTTCCAATGATTGCGAATCCTCTACGAGGGCGCCACCTGTTAAAGATCTGTTTTATTTTGCTTGTGAAGCATTATATAAATCATTTGCAGACCGATTACATTCGAAATATTTCTTACAACGATGATACGACAAAAATTATAATTATAAAATTTACAAGTTACTGCTAGATCTCGATAATGTCATTCATTCAGGTGTTCCTATCAAAAGTAATTGTAAATCATCGATCCGGATAAACCCAAACATGCTGCCGATTTGAATTGTCATCAATCATAAGTTGGCTTGCATCTGTAATGCAGCACATGCATTCATGGTAGCAGAAGGGCGAAAAAACATCTCGACGGACAACTGTCAAAGAAGCATCGCCGACTGGCGAGAAACGACTAGTTCGTAATCAGTTGCGCGCACGAGTACACGCGCTCTGAATTATTAATGCTTTCAACTTTGTTCCTATTTGTTGCCGCTCTGTAATAAGTCGAGACTCTATTTTAATAGCTGTATCCTCGGCAGTAGTGCGCACGCGGAAGAGAGGGCGCCCGCAGCCAAGAGACGACTCGTCCCGAGCTGTTGCCTGTTAGCTACGCTGCTGACTGCAAGAGCGTTCTCGGGCCTGCGATCGCGTCGCGCAGTTGCCCAGTGTTCGCTGCGATCCTCAACAGCTCGCGCGCGCCTCGCTATATATAGGCTGCTCCCGAACTCCGAAAGTGTCTTTGCGTATTGTACACACACGAACGTCGCACTGTCACACCGAGCGCGATCGTGTACCCTTATACATACGAAACATATACGTATACATTCACCCGCACACGCACAGATATATAGAGCAAGTTTCGGCTGCTGTGCGTGGTCCTGAGTGCAAGTGCACTCACGAGAACGGATCATCTTGAGGCTGAAGTTGCGCACGCCATGCGTCAGACAAATTGGAGCATTAATACATCGTTGTGACGTCGATAAACGACTCAAGTGTGCGTCTATCATTATTGGGTAAGTACTTGTTAAATACCCCGAGAGCTTTTCTATATTGCAAGCGAGTTCATTCTCGTCTCGAGTTGCCTTTCTTTTTTTTCTTCCCATTGCTTCCATCTTGTCCTGAGCTCAGCTGACTCTATTTCATGCGGCTTTGTTCGCCTCGAAGGTCAATTTTTCTCGATTCTGAGCTTATGTGCATCAGCTGACTTGATTTAATCGCATACGAATGCTCATATGTACATGTACATGACACGGGACTCTATGCCAGTGCAATAATCGACCAGTTGCTACCGCTGTTGACGAGCCTCGTACCTACTATCTCGCTAGTTATACATGGCCAGACTTGGCTTAGGTAAATTCAATTACCGCATTGTGTTATACCTATACATGTAGCGACGAGAATGTACATAGCTGACACTGCTGCTTCTCTTTGCAGTCGTTATGTGCCGTTGCATTATGTGCGGCTCATCCGTTTTAAATCGCTTCTCCTCTCTCGCTTGCACTACTCGTTGCTGCTCGAACTGTATCAAAAAGGAGGGCTTTAACGTCTTATTTCGATGCACCTGCGAAAGGCAGGCAGCTTGCACGTGATCGTCAACCAAGTACAAAGTATTCCTGCGTCAGAGAGCCAGAGAGAGGGGTCAGGAAATTTTATACAGTTCGGTGCGTGGTTTTATTTTGCCCCTCGTCATCGTGAGATGAGATAAGCGAAAAAACGAGCTCGCTTGTTGATACTGCTGCATCATTTTCGAAAATTTGTCAACAGCTTTTACGTGCTTTTTCCTGTATTATCCCTCATTATGCGTGGTTCATAGTGCGATAATCGTGCAGTGAGCAACGATAACCTTACGAACTGCCGTGTCGACCTCGCTCGACAAAGCCATTGATAAAGCGCTAAATTGCTCCAAGATATTATAGTCTGACGGTGATAAAACGTTCAACTGCATTTAGGAGCTACGCTTTTATCATTTTGAGCGTGTGAAGCAACTGTTATACTCCCTCCGTCATCGACTGTGCCGTAAAAAAATCCACGAAACAGCGAATGCGAATCGTTTTTTCCATATGCGCTCGCGGCTTACGTCTTTCTCGTCAAATTCTCGGAAGCTATAGCTAAAGTGGAAAGTTATTTTCCGTTAGATCAGGGTGAAAATAAAAAGAGTGCCAGTTTTCTCCTATAATAATATGTGATTCTAATTCGTAAAACTGTACATGTACGTAGAAGCAAGGAGTTGAAGCGTGCCCAATCGTTTGCAACTGCGTCCTAGTGGCTATGTTGTAATTAGCAAGATTGCGTTTATCGAAGTTGTTATTTTTGTACGAACTATAGAGCTTGTTCTGCTGCTTTGTATATCGATTATGCTGGCGTATGTACGTTGACGCGATGATAGAAATGCACGTAAACATATTTTGCTCGCTCGCCGTGTACGTAAAGGCGCATTGCTGTGCATACACGCGCATATAGCACAGCAGTACGTACGTCGTAGAGCTTTTCGATGCGCGTCGCAGGACTGGTCGATTTTTATTGCTTTGATGCTTGCGAGCGATTGTTGAATGTATACTTACGTGGTCGTTAAAAGAAAAAAAAAGAAAAAAAATAGTCCTCGCTAATTCTTGGAACGTGCACTCTATGACTTTTCTTGCGTGCACCGCTCTACTCACGTATGTGCACTTAAGTACAATGAAAAATAACTCGAAATTATAGCGTATAATATTTTATAGAAATCGACTTTTTTCCGAGTAATTACGATATATTTGTATGCTTGTCGAGCTCTGTATATACACATACATGTAAAGACGTCAATTGTCTTGATGAATTGAACGATGAATGATAATATATTGCGTAGGTGTTCACATGAGATCATTAGATCAGTCGAAGCATTGTCTCAACTCTCATGTATGAACCTTACTAGCATTCGTTATTTCTAAAAAAACAGTACATATGATGTATTATTTATTGTTTTTTTAAAAATAACTTTCTTTCCTTGCTAAGATATTTATTTTTCGCTATGCAACGTAAAATTTAATTCTTGCTACTCAAAATATGAAATTCATTAAGTATTTTTATGTCCAGATATTAAAATATTTGAATTGTTCAAACATTCAACCACATCCAAACGTAATTATGGACAACGAGAATGTCAATGGAATTGTTGAGGAAAAGAGCTTTGATTCTAATATCATGGAAGAATCTCAGATTCGTCACAGAACACCATGGAGCGATAGAATTTCCCTAAATAGTGATATTCCTGGACTTCATGAAGTCAAAGAATTACTTGAAGAAGATGACACAAGCTGCTTGGCAGAAGAAGAAGATGGAGTTGGCTGTCCACTGCCATCCACTCCAGAAGATGACCGTCTACTGGATTGTGAGGTAATAATTGGTTTTTGAAAAAATTGAATTCTCATAATTAAATTTGATCAATTCTACAATGAAAGTATTATAAATTTAAGATGACTGAAGTTTTGAAAGCTGGAGTTCTCAGTGATGAAATAGATCTTGGAGCCTTGGCTCATAATGCAGCAGAGCAAGCAGAGGAATTTGTTCGCAAGGTATATTATTTCCCTACATTACTTCATAACATTCTATTTTTCCTTTTTTTTTTTTTTTCAAGATAATCATTACATTTAACATTTTATTTTTAAAAGGTTTGGGAAGCATCGTGGAAGCAATGCCATTTCCGTAACCTGCCTAAATGGTTGCAAGACAACGATTTTCTACATGCTGGTCATCGACCACCATTGCCATCATTTTATGCATGTTTCAAAAGTATTTTCCGTATTCACACTGAAACAGGAAATATATGGACACATCTATTAGGTAAATACTTATGCATGCTTTTAAAAAATTTTTATTACAGTTGGAAAGCACTATAACAATAACTCGTTTTTTGCAGGATGTGTGGCATTCATAGGTATAGCAATATATTTTCTAACACAAACACATATGGATATGAAATGGGAAGAGAAATTAGTTATTGGTACTTTCTTCCTTGGAGCTATCATATGTTTAGGCATGTCATTTGCTTTCCACACTGTTCACTGCCACAGTGAATGTGTTGGAAAGTTATTTTCAAAACTAGATTACTGCGGCATTGCCATGCTCATTATGGGAAGTTTTGTACCATGGCTCTACTATGGATTTTACTGTGATTATCAACCAAAACTGATATATTTATCAGTAGTTGTGGTTCTTGGAATAACTAGTATTGTAGTTTCTTTATGGGAAAGATTTGGAGAACCCAAATACAGACCTCTACGCGCTGGAGTCTTTATGGGTTTTGGCCTTAGTGGAGTGAGTATTTGAAAAGATTTATAAAAAAGAAAAAATAACTACATCTAGTTTTTTTTTTACTTTTTCTAGGTAATTCCAGCTGTTCATTACGCTGTTGCTGAAGGATGGTTCAAAGCTATCAGTCAAGCTTCTCTTGGATGGTTGATTTTAATGGGATGCTTATATATACTAGGAGCTATGTTTTATGCTCTACGTGTTCCTGAACGATTTTTCCCCGGAAAATTCGACATTTGGGTAAGTTGATGACTTTTGAATATATGTAAAGTTAAAAATACCAAAGATTTTTTAGTATACTTTAGAGGTATGTATTTTGTATCATTCATTTAAAATATTATAAAAAATTTTTTTTATGTTTTAGTTCCAAAGTCATCAAATCTTCCATGTATTAGTTATTGCAGCAGCTTTTGTACATTATCATGGTATAACTGAAATGGCCATGCACAGAATCAGTATTGGTGATTGTGCTGTACCATCACAAATGATGGCTTTTTGAAACACTGTTTAAATCAATTGAATTTTATCATAAAAGTTAATTGTCCAATGCAGGCACTTGATTTTATAATTTTGTAAAGAAAGATTAATCATTTTCAACAAAAGATTTAAAGGTTGTTATTGTAGTTACGTAATTTGATCTTCTTTATCAATTACAATTAATTTTTGATTAACACTTTAGCTAAAATACTTTCAATGTTACTTTGTATTGTAAGAACAAGTAGTTCTCTGCTTCTTCATTATTTACGTCGCTGACCAAAACTTAATTTTTTACATAGAAACTATTATTTAATAAGATTACAAAACAATGCAATTATGTTAAAAAATTCCAAAAAAGTATAGATAATTTCTAGCGAATATTACATTACATATGCATATTAAAGTTCTTTGAAAAATATTTCATTATGCTATTAAATCAATTCTTTAGTTTTATACATTTATTAATTCATTAGTTATTTTATTACATGTGGAAATTGCTTGCAAATGATGAGACTTGAAAATAATTAATGTCTATAACTTTTAATTGAACAAAAATAGGAGTTGCATGTTTTGCAATTTTGATTGTGACTTAAAAGAATAAGGTACCAACATCTATTTTGTAAGAATTATGATGAACAATATTATATAAATATATATTGATGATATCTTTTCATTTTCTATGAAAACATTTAATACAGTCTCTTGTATTGGGTATGAAATCATTCTGCTATGTATCCACAAATTGACAGATAAGCAGTATATTTCATGAATAATCTTTGTATCTTTTCTACAAATTTATATACTCAAACACTAAAGCTGCTAAATGTATAAACTACTGTAAATCTTCATCACATATTTTTTTATTTATTTTTTTTTCTTCATTTTAACTCGCTTTAAAAGTATTTAATTTGATTGAACTAAATTATGAATCTCGCTTAAAACTGGTAAAAAGTGGATGATAACTGACCAATAATTGGCAAAAAATTTGGTGTATATCAAAGTACTGTTAAACTTTTTACATAATAAAGTGGGATATTGTTGAATAAAAAAAATGTTCAAATGTTTTATCCTAATTTCATTGCATCCTGCAATTTTCCATCCTCGTAGCATCGATTTTTGCTAACTTGCGCAATCTCCATCGAATAAATGGTATAAGTAATCGGTCTACTGCAATTGAAACTAAATCTATCATATCAGCGCGTTTCAATATATATAGCTTGAAAAATGAGTTATTTTTCAAATGTTGAATTGAAGAGTAGCAAGAGAAAATAAATCAAACAATTACGATTTTGTAAAAGTTTGATGAGTAAACAGAATCGGAACATTCTAATGAAAAAAAAATATTGTCTCAAATTAATATGCAACTACAGCTACGTTAAAAAAATTTTCAGACATACAATGGCACTAGATACAAAATAATTTATACGTCGCGCGTTAAATTTCGTTGAGAACTACACTATTGAATAATATATAAATTTTTGCAGTTACTGCTCTCGTCATAAATTATTCATTGGCTTCATAAAAAAAGTACGCTAAATGCGCTAGAGGCGCGAGATCATCGATTTTAGAATGTCCTTCAAGCTTCCTTGTGTGGAACGTTAAGTTTTACATGTCGAGCTTTTTTGGCACTTTTCGCAGGCGCATTATCTTATCTCCGCGAGAGCGTAAATAAAGTTTCGTTACAGCATTCATGATCGAGCGTCGGCGTTTGCATGATCGACCATCCGGCCGTGCAGCGGATATTAAAATTATACAGTTTAGATAGAAGTCTGATCCAAATATAATCTTGAATTTGGCAGTTGCTTACGGTCAAGACTACTCAGCCACGTTGATAGTTTTGCTCCAATTTATATACTTTATTAATGTTCGTCTTATCGAATTTTTACGCATAATAAAAAAATGTCTCTATTCGATGTATGCAACTACAGGCAGTGCATGCTCTAGCAACATTCCATGATAATGTGGCTAAGCAAATTTTTCATAGGAAAACACGTAAAAAAGTAAAAGTTTTGCTCGATGAAAGTCATTATGTACACAATTGACAGTGTGACTTTCACTGGAAACTGATATTATTAAAATCCAACGCCCTTTTTTACTTATATGTATACCTATATTAAGTGTATAATATTTCGCACTATACATATCGTATTACGTAGACACTTGCCACGCTACATATATATGCACATAGACAGAGCACACGTGCTCGAAGGGTCCGACGTCATTGATATCTGTGCGTGCGCATTCCACTTTGTACATGTATATGTATACTCAGTAATCACGGCAGCTGTGTCACTTTTATATATAACGAGCGAATGTGCATGTGCAGTATACAGCGCTGACAGCATAAGCCAGCGATGTATTTGGCCGAAAGAGATCAGTCAGTGGCCACGGCGTTCCAGAGCAAGGAAGGTCTCTCCGGCAGTTTGCGGCTCCTTTGATTCGCAACCAAATCACATCGTAAGTCTCGCTTGCAAATGTTGTTTTTTTGGCGATTATGACACTCTCTACGGATTCGTGAAAAAAAATAGCGATTCGAGTATAAACGTTCAAGTTCATCGAGCCATCAAGCAACACGCGTAATACGCGTTTACTGACACGTTGTAGGCTTTGTTTATACAGTAAAACCGTCTCGTTTTCTTATGGATATCGATGCGATATCTAGACTTGCAGAAAAAAAATGATAAGAAACCGCGATAAGAGTGCGCGAGCTTCGACGGAACGAATAGACGACCGCGTGCTTCAATTACAATATTACAAGCGAACTTGACGTTCGCATGAACTATTTAATACCGTTTTTTCCATAAACTTACAGCTACGCTACGTGTAAATTAAGCGCAACAAGCCTTTGTTTATGTTTATTCAACGAACTTACAGACGGAGACCTTCATTAAATCAGCGTCGGCGCCGAACATGCTGACTCAACAGAATTTGTCCACAAAGTAGCGAATCAACTAATAGGTAGGATGAATTTTATTAGCTGTGCACTTTGTGTACCGTACTTTGTATAGTTAGCATTACTTTTTTTATGTAGGATCCACTTTTTTATGTTAAATTAACCCTATATTTTAATACCCACTAGTAAAAATGACACATCTTATGGACAAATCTAAAAAACGATCAAGATGGTACTTTGGCGGTTTAGCATCTGCTGGAGCAGCATGCGTTACCCATCCCTTAGATTTATTGAAGGTAAAAAAAAGTTGCATGTCATTCTAACATTTTTTACTAGTATCCTTCCATTTCTAGGACAATTATGGGTAATTTTATAATCAATATTAACTCTAATAAATAGGTCAATTTATTTTTAGGTTCATTTACAAACTCAACAGGAAGGAAAAACTTCTGTATATAAATCAACTGTTAATATTATTAGAACCCAAGGAGTAGCTGCACTGTACAGTGGCCTTAGTGCTTCATTGCTAAGGCAACTCACTTATTCAACTGTTAGATTTGGAGTTTATGAGGCAAGTTTTAGTTTTTCTATGTATGTTTTATTGATACTAAAAAGTATTAAAATAATATTTTTGCTGAATGTATCAGGTTGGAAAACAAGCAATTGAGACGCCTGGACAACATGCTCCTTTTTATCAGAAACTAGTATTAGCTGGTGTTTCTGGAGCTGCTGGTGGCATAGTCGGTACTCCTGGAGATTTGATAAATGTAAGAATGCAGAATGATATCAAATTGCCTGTTGATAAACGAAGAAAGTAAGAAAATACAATTAATCTACTTATTTTTAATTGGTTTATTATTTTTTATTTACTAATTTAAAATTTTATATTCAAACTTAAATGACACTGTACATCAAATACTTTGTCTATCCTTAACTAATTTTACATTTAGACTTTAATGACAATTATTTTGTTTCAAGAATTAATAGAAATTATATTATATAATGTATTTTTGTTGATTAATTAATTTCATGTTTATCAGTTACACATGGGCTGGAAATGGACTTATGCGAGTATGCCAAGAAGAAGGTTTTAGAACTCTCTTCAATGGATGCTCAACTGCTACTGCTAGAGCAGTTTTAATGACAATGGGACAACTGAGTTTTTATGATCAAATTAAATTAACACTCATGAAAACTCATTACTTTACAGATAATTATGTTACACATTTCGTAGCCAGCTTACTTGCCGTAAGTATTTTTTATTTTCAAAATCTTTTAAAACATAATATCTTGTAATCTTTTTTTTTTAGGGTGCCATAGCTACAACAATGACTCAACCTTTAGATGTTTTAAAAACTCGTGCCATGAACGCTAAGCCTGGAGAGTTTAAAGTATGCTCATTTATTTCCTTTCAATACCTTTGCTGATAATAAATTTATTTTTACTTTTTAGAATATGATGCAACTAATTTTGTATACTGCAAAAATGGGTCCTTTAGGATTTTTTAAAGTAATTGATGTTCATATATATCGTTTATCAAAATTTTTTCATACATTTTTTTATTAAAATTAACTTACAATTTTTAGGGATACGTTCCAGCATTTGTCCGACTCGCTCCACAGACTATATTAACGTTCTTGTTCCTAGAAAATTTGCGATTAAATTTTGGATCTTTTCCACCGCAGTAATGCTACACATAATTATATTTTTTTAATGCTATAAACCTGAAGTAAATTAGCAAAAAGAATTTGCGTGACAATTTACTAAGAAATGACGAAGTAAAATGCATTACTCTGTACTGAATTATGCTCCAAATATTGTCATAGATACTTTTTTATGCTTTTTATGTGTCTGATAAGCTTTTTGAAATCGTACAATATCAACTTCACAATGAAAAATTATTTATAATTTTGTTTAATATCATAATAATTATCATGTAATTATTTAGTTAACCAAAGCATTCCATTATATATTTGTTATATTTACTAATAAAAAATATTTTTATAGATGTTTTTTATAAGATATTAAAACAAGCCATAATCGTACAAAATACTTACAGTACAATAAAAATAAAATAATAATACGCGACCATGAATCCAGATACGCTTTTAGCTTTATATGTATAATATACAACGTTACATTGTTTGATACAATATTGAATAGTTTATATTCTGTGTAATACATCTTATGCAAAATGAATGCGTACAAAAAATATTTACAACAAAATTAAAGTACAAGCATAATATGCAATAGAAGTCAACTATTTATATTATATATAAGAGATATTTTGTTAATGCTTCTAAATTAAAGTGAGTTGAGACGAAGGTTGAAATTCGCATTAATCGCGAATTTGTGAAACTGTGCTTTGCACTTGGAAAAATTATAAAAAAGTTATATTTGTATACGATATAGTTAAAAGAAACTTGTTGTTTTTCCATTTGGTGTATATTGAAATTATATTTATGAAAATTCTAAATATTGTATAGATGGGGAAATGTTTTAAATATTTACATTATAATTGTTGATAATAAAAAAGTTGATTGTGCTGACTATATATAGTGCAAAAAATTTGTTTTCCGAAATTTATTTCTGTGTTAATCAATAAAGGCAATAATACTTTTATGAATACACTTTTATTGGGACTATTTTATTCGTACAATTATGACGAGTAAGCAGTTCCGATGGAAAATTTGTATGATCATCATGCACTTTTAATTTAATAGTATTTTTTCAAATTAATAAACGTATTTTTATTTCAGAATAATCAGTTTTCATTTTTATTTCTATGACAAGATATTTTGACATTAAAAATGTTATTTTTATCACTAAAACTTTATATTATTATTTGGGAAAAATATTAACTCCTAGTTTTAATAAATGAAAATAATCATGTTGCCATCAGGTATTATAGGCGATGATATCTAATATCATCGATATATCATGGTAGAGCCAACTGCACATTTCAGATTTTTCCTTCCGAAATCACTAAGAAGATTTAGAATGGAAAATATAACATAAGTACAATGAATATTAAATTTGAATGACTATATTCAATAGAAACTAGTTTAATTACATAGTATCATACTTTACAAACTGGTTTAGTTCAAGTTGATTAATCGAATATTTCAGAATATCAAAAATTTGACATAAAAGCTCGAATGTTTAAAGAAATTTTAATCCATTCTAAATTGAAATGGTTTGGACAGAAATAATTAAAAATGTCAATAATATGTTTGTTTTGATATAATTATGCTGGTTTATTAATTTCACACAAGTTTTTTAAGATCGATGTAAATTTTAAAGTATACTAAGTGATACCGAAGAGAGTCATTAATAGATATTTTTTATCGAAAATTTACAGGTAAGACTATGAAATATATTATTATAAGTATTCGGTAGAAGCTACCATTGCATATATTTCTAATCTTTGGACGGATCCTGGTAAGGCATCTCTAAGTCATTAATTTAGGTCTAATGACTTTTTTCATTAATTTCTAAATTCATTATGTATCATACAAGTATTCAATTTACGTGGCTAACAGCTTTGTTCTATTTACACGACTTTTTTGCCATTAATTAAAATACATGAAATAAAATAAATTTTCAAATGCTTCTACCAACTCGTCAACTTGATATTATTTACACATTACGGTATAATAGAACTCGATTATCACTAGGCTAAAAGGTGAAAAATCCTTACAGTACATTGCGTAAAACTATAATAATGCCATCTCGAGGTAATATATAATGTATAATTGTCAATGTAAAGCGAAAAAATATTTGCACTTTGATGAGGCAGCGCTCGCCCGACGTTGCGCGTAAATAAGAAAAAACGAACGTTATCGCGCGTAATAATTACGTGTGACGTTTGATAGATTGGCACGGATTTGAAATGAAATCGCTGTTGATTATTTAATACTTTCGTGATTTTGAAACGATAATTTCTTCTTATTTAGCGGGGTCGGCTGGGTGCGATACGTACTCGTCTAAACTAGTGGAAACGTAGTTTTTAACAAGAATAAAGATTATAAATAATGTACAAAGCAGAATAATGAATGAACTCGTTGTCGGAGCCTAAGATTCGCGCGGCGATGAGCGAGGGCCTGTTTAGAGCATGTCGAGAACCGAGTCCAGGAGGGCTAGCTGATTTTCCACGGCGTCGTCCCAGACCGCACTCTCGATCAGCAGGTCCGTAAAGTCCTCCTCGCTTATGTTCACCTGCAGGGTAGAAAAGACGTTAAAGTCCTAAATTTGTGGATTAATAATCTGCTCGAGTAGTTTTGTATATCTTACACAATCGTGCGTACGTTAAATGAGCTTGGAAGTATATAAGCATACCTGGGCGGATTCCGGTATCTCGGGCAGAGAGTCGGGTATCGGAGGCGATACACTGCTCGGCGGCGTCTCGTACAGCACGAGGCACTTGGGACCCTCGAGATTGGCGCCGTTGGCCTCGAGTATCTTTGACACGTGATCGGTTTCGCTGGCAAAGACGAGGCTCTGCTGCAGCTGATCGTTGCTCGTCGTCGTCGTCGCCGGGGGGACGAGGCCGCTGTTACCGGTCGCGCCGTTGCCGGCGGATCTCGAGGACGCCGGCGAGGTCCTCGAGCGGCGGGAGAAGGCGTTGCGCCGACGAGTCCGACGACCCTCCTCGAGGCGCTCCACGTCGAGCTTCCAGAAGCCGCCTTTGCCCGGCTCGTCCTTGGAGCGGGGCAGCTTGACGAAGCATTTGTTCAGGGAGAGATTGTGGCGGATGGAGTTCTGCCAGGCCGGATCGGCCACCCGGTAATACTTGAAGTTGTCGCGTATCCAGGCGTAGATGCTCGACAGGGTGACTCTGTTGTCGTTGGCGCGCATCGCCAGGCAGATGAGGGTCGCGTACGAGTACGGCGGCTTCTTGCTCTCGTCGACCAGGTACTTTTGCCCGTTCTCAGCCATGTCTGCGATCGGAGCAAATTATGTTATACAAGTGCAGGTGGAGGCGCAATAAAATTAATCGGAGACTCACCGATCTGAGCTTTGAGCAGGGGCGACATCTTCTTGATCTGGGGCTTGGGCGGGGGTTGAGGGCGACGCTGCTGGACGTGCTGCTGAGGGAGCACGAGGGGTGCCGGCGAGCAGGGCGGCGTCGGCAGGCCCGAGGCGCTCGTTATGTCGAGCGACTGCAGCCAATTGAGATTGGTCAGCTCGGCCTCATCGTTGTCGCAGTCCATGTTGTTGTTATCGAGGCTGGCGAGGGCCGCGGCGGTCGCGGCCTCCTCGAGGCAGTCCAGCGAGTCCACCTCGACGGCCACTTGCTTCTCGAGCGAGCTCGTCGTCCCTCTGGTGCGCACCATTTCGCATGACAGGCTCTCGAGCCCAGAGCTTGCGGAAGTTTGCTCGTCCGTCCGCGTTGCCTATTGATTCACTGCTGCCTGCAACAATTGCACTTTGAGTTTAGCCGCGATGTAAGCCGAGAGGAAAGAGGCGATCGATCTTTGTGAGAGAAAGAGAGGGATGAAGACCTTCGGCGAAACTTTCGATAAACGATCTTGGTCCGTCAGAGCTGCCACTTATTGCGCACGGCCAGCTGCCGATGAAAGAGACAGGCCAGCAGCCAAAGTACGGCGTCGAGTGCGTAGCGCGGCAAGGCCAACATCAAGGAAACGAGCCTCGGCATGTTCCGAGCCCGACTGCGATCATTATAGAGGTAGCCGCGCGAGGCTCGCGGACTTTTGCGCGCGCGACGACGCTCTAAAATAAGTAGAATTTATCGCCGCACACACCCATAGACGCTCGACTCCGGCGCACACGGGATACACAACAAGGACTGAGGAGAGTTTCTTCGGGCCGACTGTGCTGCTGCTGCTGCTTTTTGCGCTACCACTACTACCACCGCTACCACCACCGCCTCTCGTGCGCCTCCACCAGCTGGCAGGTGCTGTTTATATCGCTGCTGAGGCGAGTTGCGAGTTGCGACGCAGGTGGACCAAACATGTGCGCGAGGCACAGCCAACGGCCACCCCTCACGCACATGCACACGCATCGCTACCCTACGGACATTCATGCCCGTTGCCGTTATATTTTGCGGCTTATCCTCGCCAATGACTTTTACTATCTCGAAAACAATGAGTTGTTTCGTTAGTTAGGTAGCTGCGTCGAGAGGACTCGCGGCGCGACAGATAATCGCGTCATTTTGCAACGAAATCGTTTGGCTGCTGCAGCGATCGTGCGCGCTTTCGATATCTCTCGATCGAATCGGAGTCTCGCGAGAAAGCATACATAATGACGCAAGGGGCGAATCGCGCCTTTTTCATTCTCGAGACGTTACGGCTTGGCGGGGTTGCGCTCGACCCTCCGACAAGCTTCGCCGAGCACGACGTTATTATCCTCTCGTGCGCGGCGCCTTTCCGCAACCATCGACCAGATGTCCTACCTCTAAGAGCGTGTTGTAGGAAAAAAAGCCCTGGAAGATGTGTGCCACGCGCGTATTGTCGTCGATAAAAAGAAAGAAAGGAAAAAAGCCCCGCAAATATAAGTATAACAGAGTGCAATTTTGCTGCTACTGCTTCGGAGCTGCTGCGGGCATGGCTCGGGAGTCGCGCGTATTCGGTCGAGCTGCATAAGCCGTAGTAGTGCTGGAATCGATCGAGCCTGGCCAATGGGGTCGTGGGGCTGGCCACGAGAGACGCGGACGCAAACGATTCGCTCGCTCGGGCCGGAGCTTCTCCTCCTACTGTGATAGCTACAGTGGCGCGCAAGCGCCCACGCACGCAGACTCCTCTCGACTGTGCGACTCTTTCTCGAGCGCGACACCCTCTCGCACCCCCGCCGCGGGGCTGCGTATATAATTTGCGCCGCTACGAACGGCCATCCATCCGCCCTTTCTATCGTATATAATCTAGCCCGACGTCAGATTTTTTACGGATCTTTTTGCAAGCTCCGACTCCTATCGACGCCAACAAAATGCATCGTACTTTGGTACGCTTAATTATCATGGACTATAGCACGTTGATCTTAAAAAGTAAGATAACAAAAGTCGATGTGTGTGAGCTAGATGCGTTCGATCGATTCGGTCGTCGCCGCCGCAATGACGCTGAAAATTGTCACATATGAATGCTATTGTGGCAACGTCTTTACAGAGCAAAGGTAATTTTTAGTTTTTACGACTCGTGGCGAGCGCGGACTTGATTGCTACGATCGATATCATCCCGAAGGCCAAGTCGGCCTCTCATTGGTCGAGCGATCTGCAGCGTCCAATGGTTCGCTACGCAATTTTTCATCCATCGGCGCACGCGAGATCAGAGCTATCTTGCATACAAAGCACCTTATCGGCAATTATCTTCTCCTCTTTTGGCTTGCACGAGCGAATGCGAAAATAATGCGCTGATTTGGCTCGCACGCGATCTTCTCGCGTAATATATACGTGTGCTCCGATACGCGTGCAGTGCTCGGCAGTTCCTTGACTCGGCGATTGTTTATGTTCTCGTGGCTTTAAACTTTTCTCGCGCTCGGCTACCCGCACCAATAGCGGCAATTGTTGTTTGTACGTGAACTTGAACCCTGGCCCGCGAGTATCGCTCAATTTTCGCCTTTATCTCGGCCGACGATTATATGTCACGCGTAAATATAGCGGCGCAATTAACTTCCTATGTGTGTACGCGCGCGTACGTACGTGCATGCAACTTTCGAGTTTCGACTGTTGGTCGTGGGCGTTTGCATATACGCGGATCTGGACACGTGTGCGCGATGCAGCAATACACCTCCATTTGTATTATTATACCTATCGAGCTGCGGAGGTGCTCGTCGACGTCGCTTTTATTTCCTCGACCGGTTAATAGCCATCTGCACTTCCGTTGAGGCGCGAGCGAGCGCGTGGCCGACCGCTGCTGCAGCGCCAATAGAGCATGCGAGCACGCGCCTTTCTTTCCTCGCTCAACGACTGTGTATTTCGTCGGCTCGGTTTGAAAAAAAAAAAAAAACAGGCATGACCTCGTTCCAACGAGTGGGTCTTTTCGGACCGATATGATTAGAGTCGCGTTTTGGAACAAGAGCAGCAATGAAGAATTGCACGGGACTGCGGACTATTTGTGAAAAAATTTGCAGATAAACATGAAGTATAAATGTCCTCGCTCCGAATCATCAAAGAGCTTTCGTACCTTTGCCCGGGATAAAAGCGCTTTCGGACTAATGTCGAGCACGCTGCATTCTGCTATTTAGATCGGATGCATTAGGACGATTTATCAAAGCTTTCAAAGGCGCGCGCACGAATCAGCGCTTTTTATCGGAAAATTACAGCTTCGCGGGTGGCGATCCCAGTGGGATGCACTGCAAAAACCGTTGGATCGTAGCAACATTTTCAGCTAAACATTATAGCCAAGTTTTGTGAAAATTTGACGAAGAGTTTCGATTGAAACAGAAACGAAGGTCTAGCTCGACTCGGCGAGGGGGCCCCAAGAAAATAACGAACCGCGTCGAGCGATTGGAATAGGAACGGAGAGGAAAAAAAGCGAGACTCACGCGTGCTCGCAGGGGAGGAATGTCGCTTGCATGCACCGCCGCAATGGACACGTACAAAACACGCGCATAGAGTGCGCAGTTCGAATACACACACATCGAGCCGCGTACACCTGCCTACGTTTGCACCCCTACGACGCAGGTTGTGTGACTCAGCAGCCGGTGCGCGGCCTCTAACCATTTGTTTTCTTCTCTCTCTCTCTCTCTCTCTCTCTCTCTCTCTCCTTTCCATATATTCTCCCTCTGTGTATTAACAACTCGCGTTACTGGCAAACTTACTCTCTTTTTCCATAGCTCTATTTAACCACCTACGAGCGATTACGATACCAAACAACATATGACGTTGTAAATACGCGTCGACATCACGGATGCGTAGGTAAATTATGTTTTCGAGCGTGAGACTCGTTTTTTTTTCATTTCTTATTCAAGCTCCCGGACGAAACGAGACTCGTATCGATGATTCTTTCGCTGCGGGGACGCATATGTCGTTTGATCGGGCTCAAGTACGCGATGATAAATGCGACTCGACTCGTGTTGAATTATCCCGCGAAACGAGCCTCGTTTCTTCGTCCATCGAGAGCACGAGAAAAGTAATGATCGCGTCTATAAGAGTTTCGAGTAGCTGCGGAAAAGCTAAACGAGCGGCCAGCGCGAAGAAAAAGTATGTTATTCTCTGCTTATAACCGCTGGGATATACGTTTTCATGGCTATTTCGACGAGTAGCAGGCAGTGGCAGAGTAGAGCTCGAGACCGAATCAATCCTCGTAAATATTTAATGCAACCTCTATATGGAAGTACTCTAGTACTAGCGCTGGGCCGAGTGCGCGCGTGCATACGACGATACGTGCAGTGCAGCAGGCAACGAACATCATAGCCTACTCAAATTGTCCGCGTGTTTTTCAACTTTCGCTCTAAATTTTTCAATGCGACTCGTACGTAGTACGCCTGTATCACGTGGCTAATTCTTAATTGCGCAAAAGTGCCGTTCCCCGAAGCCGAAATACACGCGCGCGCAAAGCCTAAGCTTTCTCGGAAACTGCATTTACCTACGTCCGAGCGCGTCGTTGATTTTTTAACTATTTCAATTTTCTTTTTCTTCGTACTCGTCACATATATCTTTCTCGATCGAGTTAATACATTTCGATAAAATTTACCCTTTATAGAATTAATTTTTCGCGAAATAAAATTTGTCGTGCGACGTTCGGAGCTTACATGTAAGAATATAAAAAGATAGAATACGTGCGATTTCTCGCGCGTTCAGCTCACCTAGAGATCGAGTAGTCCTGCTGCTGTCCAATGAGCGACGAAACAAAGGCCCATTACTCCAATCGTAGAAGAGATAAAAGGAGAGAGCGCAATTAAAATTCACAAGTGATTTGTATCCGTGGACGTGAGCGGGAATCTGTCTTGCGAGCTTTGACGCAACGTTGTTATAGCCTCTCGGAAGAGAAATGACCAACGCGTCTACATGACTGCACGTCGGACTGCTGCTGTCCGCAAGCGCAAGCTCTCTCTGTCTCTCGCGCGCGGCCGATTTGATGCACCTACTCCTCTCCTCTCTTCTCCTCTCCTCTTTTCTCTCTCTCTCTCTCTCGCTTTCTCTCTGTCTTTGTCTATACGTAGCTGTAGCTCTATCTACCTGTACTTATATATATTCCAGCGCAGAGGGTTCACCGATCAATTTATTCGATCCTGCGACTCAAATTTCTCTCAGCGAAACTTGTTTTTTTCTTCTTGCAATTTAAAATATGCAGTCGCGCCGATGTTTACTATTGTAATGATTTATAATGGCGTGCAGGATACAGGTGACGCGTCCAACTGACGAACGCGTCGAGCTCGACGAGAACCTAGACCCGCTTTTGTTCGAGTTTGCAAGCAGCGAGAGGAAATACGTGTGGCGAACGTTTTTGCGAGCTGGCACGAGGCATATTACGCGCTATACTAGCACTGGTCAACGGCATGTCGGGGGTCGCCATTTTCCATGTAGCTCCGTTGTAGCGAGTTGTTCCACCCCCGCGCCGCCCGACCGACTATATGCATGTTATTCTTTCGCGACCCTCCACAATACGTGTACCGGTACGGGCTGCGCGCGGGGGTGGATCCCGTTCTATGCACACAACTCCGAGGCGAGTATCGATTTTATCATCAGCTCTCTCTCTATCTCTCTCTCTCTCTCTCTCTCGGACCTTTCTTCTCCGCAGTTCCCTTTTCCTCATCTATATAATGTCGACTCTCGTTCGCTGCCGAGCCGAGGCGATTCTCTCGAGCGTCGAGCGAGTAGTCGAGAGGAGGAAATTCGACTCGGCCGGACACGGTCCGAACGCTCGACGCGCCTCATTTTCCCCGTCTATTTTCCAAAGATTGCTGGTGATCGTCGCAAAATAAACAGCTGCTGAAATATCGTCCACGTTCTCGGCAGCTGCGCGCCCGCAGCTTATTTGCGTTACGCTCGGTTGAGCTTAGGCAGCTCGGTGATAAGCGAAAAAAACCTGCGCGCCGCCGCAGCTTGACAATCGCAATGCCAATTCCATAAGTTCGCGTGGCTTATACGTAATGTACCTTATCGGCTTGCAAAGGAAGGAAGCGCTGGCGATTGTTGGGTGCAGAAATTATGCGAGCAAACAGTCGCTTTTGTTAAATCGTTTATTTTCCTTTCTTCTTAAATGTACAATAGTTGCGTACGATTGCGCTTATTACATACACATTTTATCTAGCGTTTGCGAGTGCGATGCGCTTTCGCAGTTACGCTCGTCGATGCAGTTACCCTTTTCGTTTTTTTTATTTTTGTTCTCTTCTAGACATTTCCACTATTACTGAGAGATCGAGTGAGATCTATTTTACTTATTTTTTCACATGAAATAAATGCCTCCACTTTCCATTCTTACAGATTTTAAGCAAACCAATTTAAGAACGCATCTCAAAGGCAAAATTCAAGCAATCATTTTTCAGAGAAATATAAGTATGACTTACATTACGATAAACTCTAATGCAACATTAAAAAAAAATACAGAGTTAAAAACTGAATTCTTAACTTATGGAATGTTAATTTTTGTATGTACACTCTTCTTTTCCATTCTTTGCCACAAAACAACATCTCAATTATGCATCAAGTATTTCAAATAATATAATGCGCACACCCAATGAACGGGAAATGATTAATAATTTCGTATTTTTTATTAACCACTCTCGCAATACACACAAATATGCGATCGAGAAAAAGGCATATTGAGTCATTTATATTTGGTGTGAGTACTCGCGTATGTGCGCATGGAAAACGGAGTTGTACGAATCGTCGTTTTTCCATAGGCACATACACATTTTATTATTGTTATTAAGATATCAATTTATAAAATCCAGATTCATCATTGATATTATTTGTATACCTCGAATATAACACTTTAGCTTGAAAATAATATTGTTATTCATAATTGTATATCGCAGTGTTATTATTGCGCTTCGATCGATTATTTAAAACTCGTCACTTAAAGTAAATGCATGATTTTCAAGCAATTATTTGCACATAAAATTTACGAAAAACCGATGAAGTACTCGACTGATTGCAATTTTAGCATTTTACAATTCCCTTAAATGAAGAAAACTCGATTGTTTTATCGTCACCTTTTTTTATTCTATATCTATATAATATATGATTTCCCATTCCAATTCAGCGTGCAACTGAAATTCATCGGTTGAACTTTTTTAAAAATGAAATCCACTGATCGCCTTCAAACAAGACGATACTACGTTACATTTTTAGTGTAATATAATGTTTACTCATATGCTTCTAAATTTGTACACGAGTACATTTTACAAGGTACTACGATTCCGCAATATTCTTATTCATTTATTTTTTTACTTTTTTACAATTACACTAAGTTGGAGCGTTCTTTCTCTTATTCTGCTGAGACTATAAGTTGGGTGCAGGATTGTATCAACGAAGGAACAGTTTCATGATTTTTTTTGTTATTTCGTCTTCTTACCTTTCTCACACGGACTGTACACACTTTCACCTTTTCGACATTCCCTCCATTTTCCTACATATTTTCCTACATTATTTTCAATTTTTTACTATTGCATCTGGTATTTTTTAAGGCTGATCTGTGGTGAAAGGGGTCACACCATAATTGTCCATTTGATGCATAATTTTATCAATGTAACCGGCAACATCTATCGTTGCGTTTTCAGAATTCCGTATAAATTCATGTTCTAAAAGTTTATTGTACTTTGGACGTTGATTTTCCTCCTTTATTAAACTGAAAATAAATCAATAATATTAATTAAAATAATATCATATTTTTCAAACTGTTTGGGTTTCCAATTCAGAAAAATTACTTACCATGTATTTACAAAATCAACAAAATCGGCTGTGAAGGTACCACCATTAGAATTAGATGATAGCCTTGGTGGATCACCCATAACAACTTGGTAGAGTTGTTCAAATACCGAATTCCATTTTGGATAAGGAAAATTTCCTGTAGCTGTTTCCATTAATGTTATCCCAAGAGACCACACATCACTTCTTACGTCGTATCCTCGTGCACGTTGAGGATCAATTCTTTCCGGCTGTAATTTGTAATAAATTAAATTTAAAAAAATGTTACTGCTTTAACATATTTGATTACAAATACTAACAGCCATATACGGTCTACATCCAGCATCACGCGTTTTTGCGATTGAATCGACCAACTGTCCAGAGATACCAAAATCACAAAGCTTAATATTACCTCGTCGATCTAATAAAATATTACTAGGCTTTACATCGCGATGAATTATTTTCAATTTTTCTTTTAAATAATTCAAAGCCTTTAGAGTCGCAACTGTAATTTTTCCCAATATTGGTTCAGGTATCCTATCACGTAAAAGCTCATGTATAAATTTATAAAATTTATCTAATGAGGTATCCATTAGTTCCATGCAAATCCAACAGTCACCCTGAAAGTGAAAATTTATTTTTTCAATAAAATAGATTTTTAATTATTATACAAATGTTTTATTATTTTATTTGTTGACTTACTTCTTTGAATAAAGCTCCATAAAATTGCACAATATAAGGACAATCATTTGATTTCATTACAACTTCTAAATCCATCAATAATTGTTTTTGTTCTTTTTCATCCACAGTAGAACGAATTCTCTGATAATATATAATTTGAATAAAATTATAGTTTTCTATTGACTTTTATGTATGAAAAAATAATAAAAATAAATTTTACCTTCACAGCCATAACAGTAGTACTTTTTTTATGAACCATTTTATTTACAGTTCCGAAACCTCCTCTACCAATTTCTCCTAAATCAAGTAAATCTTCACTCGTAAAATCATATACTGTGTCTGGACTAAGTTGTAATTTTCCTGTACTTTGCATAGATTGGCACATTTTAAATTTTTCTCTGAAAAAATGAAAACGATTTAATATAACATTAATTGGAATATATAATATTGAATATTTTCCATAACATACCTTGCTTTATCTGGTAAAGTTTCTTGTGGAAGTGGTACATATTTAACAGGAATTTTTTTCAATGGTAAAGGCAAATTTGGGCGTCCAGTTCTGTCAATTGTTAATTTTTATCAATAAGTTTATATTTTTCAATTTAAGAACGCAATTTTTTACTACATCTGAATATTCCAGATGAGCTGTGGTAATATGCTGCTAACTAGTTTCTCGCGAATCGCAAAATTACTTGCAATATAATTGTGATTAACTTATTTAATGTTCATTATAAGCAAAATGATTTTTGTTATTTATTTGAATGATATTAATCTATAATATTTTTTTTTCTTTCAATATTTTATACTACAGTAAGAAAAATTGTTTTACATACCAGCGGCCCTGCCACTGCGCTAAACGGAATATTGCTATTTTAGGGCCACGGGGTATGTAAAATAGCATACCGGCCTATACCGGGAAAAAAGAAAGCCCCCGTGCATGTGCTAATCGACCTCGGCTTCGCCTCGGTCGCTTATTTCATGTGCCCTGGGACTTTTCTGTTTTTCCCGGCCTAGGGGAGTAATATACTATTTTTCAAATTCAAGTTTAATCCATTGACGACGAAAAGGCTTGATTTTTTATTGGCTTTGGAAGCGATTTGTTCCGAAGTTTTAGACCTCAAAAACATTTTGCACGCACCTATTTCAATGTAAAATTTAATGCCCTTAAGGATTTTTGAGCCACTTTGCAAACTTTTGTTTTGGAGACTTTTGCTCTAAACTCAATAGTTTTCGAGTAAAAAATGAATTATGTTTTATATGAATATGAGTTATGTTTAGTTTGAAGGATTGGTTTGAAAATTCTATAAAAAATCCCTGAGATACTTTAATAGTCGTGATTACTCCTGATTATGTTTATATCGTGATCCCTTAATTATAACATGGCTAAAAATAATCGAAAACTTGATTTTTTGCCAAAATTTTTACGATTTTTTTGTTTAAATAGCTATAACTTTTTTATTATGTAAAAAATCAAAAATTTAAGTTCAGTTTCTGAAAGGGCATTAAATTTTACATTGAAATAGGTGCGTGCGAAATATTTTTGAGGCCTAAAAATACGGAACAAATCGCGTCCAAAGCAAACAAAAAAATTAAGCCTTTTCGTCATAAATGGGTTAATCCTCATTATTGATGGTTTAAAAGTTTATTCTAATTTTAATTGAATGAATATTAGGTATTGAAAAAAGTATATATGATAAAAAATTATATTTTTGAAATTAGTTTTAAAAACATACGTTATTTTGGAAATGAGTATTAATTTGAGCCAAAACAATTTCAACTTACAAAACTTGTGGTGATTGCATCTCAGTGGTTGATGGCAGTGTCTTAGCATCATCTATTGGAAAGTTGAGTTTCATCAGCCGTTTCTTTTCAGCTGCAATGTAATTTAGTTGTAGGATTATTGACTTAATAAGACTATGATTAAGCAATTGACATACCTGACATATCATTTGAAACTTCATTGTTAGTTCTAAAATCTATATTTGGAAAATTGAAGATCCGGCTAACACCTGTGAATTAAGAAAATTAAGTATTATAGGTTTTAATATCTTAATTGTAACGAATAATTGTTTACAATGAAGCGTCAATAAGAAATACAATGTATAATTGATAAAGTCAAATAATATGTCCATAAAATGAATTGAAAACGACGCGAATGAGTAAGCTGAAAAAATATATAATACGTAAAAATCTGCAATGACATACCGTTACCCATGATTAAACAAAGTTGATAGGGAATAATAAAATCAAAGTGACATAAAAATAAAATAGAACTCGTGCGAAAAACGATAATCTAGGAGGCAGGTTATGACTAATCTGCGCGCTAAACTAAATGCCGGAATTATTTCCTCTTTCTCCGAGACACAAAGTGTATGTTTATGTTAGGAATGGGCATACCTTGATTGTTGTGTCCAAAGGAGTTGGTTTGATGATTATTTTCGGCCATCGTCTCAGTTGAACTAATAACACAAATATTATTGAAGTAAGTACGCTGTTGTCGGTGCGATACGCTGTATACACTCCGTACGTCAGACGACCTGCCTATATGTAAGCACTGGGTAAGACTATATACAGAGCGTATGCCAAGTGCTAACACGCCAAAGGAGTAAGTATAATGCAGACGCAAGGGTTGGCGCAAGCTCGATGTGCGTGCGTGCCAACGTGTACCTATAGGTATATATCCTTCGATGCAAGTTTTCAGTCTCCCGATGTAAGATTTTTCGCTCGATGCGCTACGAGCGGTGGTTGCATCGCTATATTATTGTTTTCAGCACAGAATACTTCAACACATTGGACTATGGAAAACTGCCAGCTCATATAGGACTTGTGCGATTCAGTGTCTCGACATCGTAGACCAATGAGCTCCGATTGTTGCGACTCTTATCAATGCTATGGTTGAAAAAAATACTCGCTTTTCGTTGCTCGATAAATCAAGTTATAATTCACACTGGAGGTGGAGGCAAGAGCTGCCTGCTCGCCTGTAGCTGCGCTTTATACACATCGCAACGCAATTCGCGAACCACAGCACAGCTCGTCTGCGTTACTGGCTGAGTGGTGGTCGGTGGAGAGGTGCAGTCTGCATTCTGCAATATACACTCTATACTGTCTACATTAGTACATTTACAGTGAAAAGGAAAAAAGGTGGCGCTTGCGCAGCCTCGCTCTTTGAATCTCTATGAATTCATAATAAAACTTTCTGCTATTTTTCGAGGTTACCGCAATATTAGTAATCATTGAAAATGACATCTTTACAAAAATTGACAACAGTTGCCAGGCTGTTAGGCCTTAGGCAACAATCCAGGTAAATAATAGTTTCATTTTTCACCCTATTCGAAAAATTAAACATTTCTTTTACCAGGACTGTTTTTGACAAGCACTCTAGACATTGACAATTCAAATATAACCTTTGTACTAAATTAACTGAAATTTAATTATGTTATTTATCTTATTTTTAGGGCAGAAGTAGTAAATGTGACTAGAAATTACAGTGTTTTCAATCCAACTTATGTAAAACCTGTATTCAGACCTGAAGAACAAGAAGCCTTGGATCAAGAGGAAGAGTTGAAGGCACTGTCACTTTTACCTATTAAGCCAGCATTCACTGATGATACCTCGTCCGAGTTTTATGATAAACAAGTCAGGTATGTTTAGTTAACAACACAATTGTTGTAACATTTTGTCTTAAACAATTTAATAAAATTCAAAACAATTTTTACAGTAAATTTATTAATTTCCTAATGAGAGAAGGCAAAAAAGAAAGAGCTAGAAAAGCTCTTGAGAATACATTTGAAAATATTAAAAGAATACAACTAGAGAAGTATAATAAAGCAACAGATCCTGCAGAAAAAGAAAAAATAGAGCTTGACCCTAGAGCTATTTTACGTCAAGCCATTGAAAACAGTACTCCTGTGCTTGAATTATTAAAAATGAAAAAAGGTGGTCAAACATATCAGGTAATTAACGATACATTTCATATTCAATTTGAAAAATTAGCTGATGATGCATTATTTTGTTGTATCAAGGTTCCTGTTCCACTGACTGAAAAAAGAGCACAATTTTTAGGAATGAATTGGCTCATTCAAGCTGGAAAGGATAAACAAATGAAAGTTCATTTGAGTGAAAAATTAGCGCATGAATTGATTGATGCTGCAAACAATGAGGTAAAACATTACATATATTTTTATATATAATTATGATTTTGATACTAAAATTTGTTGTTTATGCAGGGAAGAGTTATAAAGAAAAAACAAGAACTGTATAGGCAGTGTGAAGCAAATAGATCATATGCTCATTTTAGGTGGTTCTAATTATGTTGTTATTTATAATAAATGTAAAAATATTTTTTAATTTATGAAATATAACGTCTATAAGGTATTCGAATACTGTTTCTATGCATTCAATTTTATTTCAAAAGACCTTTCATTTTATTTTGAATAGGCTTTAATGTCAACTGATTATTTTGATAAATTATGCAGCTTTACTTCATTTTAAATTTATTTTCAATTTACTTAGGTTACTTTATTTTAAATTGCTTTTTGAATTGTTTATCGAATTTTCATGTTCAATTTAGTTTCACAGCTATCCGCGATCTTTTTATCTGACAGTCACAGTACACGTTAGGTAAACCAGTCCTGTCAGGTGTAAAACAATTGGCATGTCTGTCCATGTGGATTGTGGACGGGGGTATGGGCTGTCTTGCCAACGGACATGCCACCAAGAGAAAGTATAAGCTAAGCACGTCTGTTGCGTAGTTGCAAGTGTGTTGTTGTTATTGTACACATCAGAATGTAATCAATTACATTTAGTATTTGTAGTGCACTGTGTATAACTCATTGTTTTCGTAAAAATGTAAATATATATTAGTAACGTTACTAATCAAATCAGATGAGAGTCGGCATATAAAATGAAAATAAGCACAATGTTATACTGACCTATATTCAAGTTTTAAAAGCTTTGTTGACGAAATTCTATAATAAAACCAGTGCAAGATGTTACCTGGAATCGGAATTTTCGGAACGGGCAACATAGTGCGGGTACTCGTTACCTTTTTGCGCGAAAAAGGTTTTAAAATCATATCCATTTGGGGACGTACAAAAGAAGAAGCAGAGAGAGTTGCCACTGACATGGACATTCCTTTTTATACAAGCAAAGTTGATGATGTTGTCTTGAGAAAAGACATCGATTTGATTTTTATCTTTTGTGCACCAAAGTTGCACGTTGAAATAACTGTTAAAGCATTAGGCCTTGGTAAACATGTGGTTTGTGATAAACCCGGTGGACTTAGTCAAATTGACGTTTTTAAAATGGGTAAAGCAGCTCTATATTACCCAACTTTGATCACAATTATTAATCACAGTTTGCGATTTCTTCCTGCCTTTGTAAATTTAAAAAGAGAAATAAAAGATGGTCTTTTGGATGGAAAAATCAGTGTAATAGATATTCGAGTACAAATTGGTCCAATTTTAGCTGATGGTCAGTGTTACAACTGGCTCTGTGATGCGAGAATGGGTGGCGGCGTACTAACTTTAGTTGGTAGCCACATCATAGATTTAATAACATATTTAACAAATCGCAAAGCTTTCAAAGTACATGCCCTAATTCGAAACTTTAGTACAACTACAAATCTACACAAAAATGGTAGTATTAGATCTGTTTCTTCACCAGATTTTTGTTCATTTCAAATGGAACTGGATGGTGGAATATTAGTTACTGCTACTCTCAGTTCTTATCCAAATGCTATTGCTAATCAAGAAATCACAATATTTGGACCTAATGGTCGTCTTACTGTGCGTAGTACTGATTTGTTTTGTTGTACTGGACAACAAGAAGAAATTCGACTTTTGGATACTGAAAAAAAACAAGAACCAATCCTCACAAACGAAATTTTTATATCAGGACCTTATGTTCAAGGTTTAAGAAATATGATAGGAGCACTTAGAGAAGCTTTTGAACCTGTAGAAGATAAGAGTGGATGGACTAAAGAACCTGTATCTAAGGCAGCTACTTTTGAAGACGGTGTTTATGTACAATCAGTTATTGAAGCTTTGATACTGAGTAACAGTAATCGAGAGTGGACAAAAGTTGAACAAATAGCAGATTTACCTGATCCCAATTCTGTGCTTAGCTCAGCAGCCGTTCGATCAAAGACAATTTCACTTTAGATTTTTGTGTTAAAACATTGTATATTTTTATCAGTATTGTGTTTATAATTATGATCTATTTCAAGTAGAATTAGTTTATGATTATGAATTAATAATTTGATCATAAAAATTATTTATATTATTTTTATGTTCCAATGAAAATATAATATTTTAAATTTTTCTTGTAGAATGTACTAGGGTTTCAAGATTTTATATTTTATTATTAAACTGATGAAATTATTTAATAACAGTGCCACGCAAATTTATTTGGGCAAATTTGTTGACAAATGATGTTTACTTGAGAGTTGTGAATGTTGATGTTTCAAATATATAATTTTAACATTTTATAATATAATGGTAGTACTAAAATAATACATTTGTTATTTACTTAACAAAAGCATTTTATGAAAAGATACATAAGTTTTAGAGTTTGAATTATGCATTATGTGTTTTATCATCTTTATTAAAGTATATGTATCATATTTAATGAAAGTAAAGTAACTTTTGTCTAATGTAAAAATCAACAGAATATGGTCCAAGGGGTTCAAATGATTAACTATAGAATACATTACCTGCTGTTTAAATCAGTTAACTGTATAGTGTAACGAGTTGATTTGGAGCATTTGTAAAACATGGATTTTTTGCAATGAAAAGCCAAATCACATTATTTTTTATACTTCATGACAGTTGATGTAAATACTCTAATCATATATACAATAAATTATTTTAGATAAGTCAAAAATATTTTTAAAATAATTAAAGCCCACAAATCATTTGTAAAATTATTTTATTTATTCATTATTCACCTTAAATTGACGCTAGTCGGAAATATTTTTACAAGGTAGATTAATTCCATTGTAAGTAATTAATATATTTGTACAAGTTTTCATATGTAATACAAATAAAACAATGTTCTTTTTAACATTTACAAAACTCAAATTTTCAAGCCAGATTAAATAAATCACAATTTTTTTCAATGGTAGTCATTACTTACTACAAAATTTGCCTGTTATACTGATGTACAACTACACACGTTTCTGAATACTTAGTCTTCCGAAACAATATTTATAACATCAAATTGTTAGTTACAAAATATTATTTTTAAATAAAATTGAATGATTTTTGTAGCTTGCATATTTTTAAAAAATTTTAAACCGCTTTACATGAACAAGGATATTATCCTTTTTGATCTTGTACACACTTTTGAACAGACGCTTGTAAATTCATTAAATTTATTAAGACATACGAATTTAATGGAAACTGTTACGAAAGTCATATTTCGTATGAATTTTTATTACAAACTAGAGCAAAAACCTGCATTTACTTATATATAAAATTATATCCTAAAAATTACATAACTCTATCACTGTATCAGTGATTTTGTGAGTTATCACCTAACTACGTGAATTCTAAAATGGCAGCTACATCGTCGATTTTAACTTTTTTTACTAATCAGAATTTTCTTGTTTTCATCTGTAACGGGGAAATTTTAAATGAAAAGATTTTACAATATTTTTAATTCGTTCTTCATTCAAAAGATGTAACATGCTTACAAATTTTTTTTGAATATTGACCTCAATATTGGAGTTTTGTAATGAAATTGCATGAAAAAAAAAAAGGTAAAATGCAATCACTGCGAGGATTATCAAGAACAGATCTTATTCCCTCTTTTTTACATTTACATAGAAGTGCATATTGCTAAAGTTTATAACAATGATCAATTTTATGAAAAAAAATGAAGATGTCTAAGTCGCAAATTAAGATGTTAACGAATGTAAAAGATTCGAGCGTAAAGACTTTCTTGGGCATTACCGATGCGGTGCTAATAGATCTTTACACTTTCGAGCGTTTCCTAGCTATAGCATCTTCAACAGCTTTAAGCTGCTTGAGTAGTTCTTCACGCCTACTACCTTTTTTATCCCTTTTATCGTTTACCGGTGATGTATCTGGAGCAGGTCGTTTCTTACCGATAACTGTAGAACTACGCTTAACTGAAGCGGCTGCGGCTGCGGCAGCAGCAGCAGCAGCAGCTGTCGATGCCTTGTATTTCGTACTACCACCTACTTTGATGTTTTCTTTGAGTTCTTTATTACGATTGAGAGGAGGTGTGCCTTTGCGACGACGCACTTCCGCAGACGATGATGATGAATACGACGAATCAGAGGAGTCAGAACTACTGCCACTACTATCCGACCCCGAGCTGCTAGCTGATGATCTGTAATAGCAATTGTTAAAATGTTATAATTTTAAAATAAAACATAAAGCTACGATTTATTAAAATTCTTTTAGCAAATAACAATAATGAAAACAGTAGAAAAAAAATTTTAATCAATTTAAAATATTAATGAAAGCTCACCTGTGTTTTGCTCTTCTAAAGTAAAGCGTAAGTAGAAAAAAAACCATTTGTTAGTAATTTTGAATAAAAATGAAATTTAGGATAATTTATTCACGTTAAACATAAAACTTAATTCAATAAGCTTATTTAGACATTATTGATCATCTTTTCTAAAATAAGTAAAAATTGTCTAAGAAAAATGATGAGAAGCCTAATGTAATTTGAAAATTATACTGATTGGTAAAATAATCATTTTAAAAGGTGAAAACTAATATAAAAATTATGAAGTGTAAATAAAAAAAAAAGAAACCAACCTGGATCTCGAGTGACTCTTGTTAACCTTAGCAACTGCGGCGGCAACCAAAGCAGCTTTGTCGCGACTTTTTTCTCGGACTTTTAAATGTGTTGACAAAGGAGCAGGTACTGGGTCTCGTCGATCCGTGGGAGAAGTCTTACTCGACGTGCGAGACGTTGGCGCCGGTGGGTTCATTATCATCGTTCCTGCACGATGAGAGCTCGGAGGTGGTGGAGAGGTAGGGATTTTCTTGCTGCTAACTCTGGACCTGGACCTGGACGGGGGAGATGGGGAACGGGACCTGGAGACGGTATCATAAGAACTGTAGCTAGTGCGACTTGAGCTACGGCTAGAGCTGAACATAATTTTGAAACAAAAAAACAAACGGTGGTTTTTTTTTCTTTTTTTAATTTTTTTCCATTGTTAGTTCGAGTGTTAGTTACAACGTATAACAGTTTCAGTTTTTTTTTAACAGTTATGCGCTGCCTTGCCATTAAAACAATCTGATTTATTATGTATATTTAATGACTGAAATAGCAGGTTGAAATGACATTTTTATTATGAAATGATGTTTTATTATGGTTTTCTTTTATTTTATTAGTAATGAAATACTCGAATCAGAATCAGTTGTTTTAACCAAACGTTTTATTTGTTTCAAATTTAAGAAGCTTGCCAAACGAAGCTATTTAAAGCAAAAATAATTGTATAAAAAAATTACTGACATTGACATTTAGAATTTTATAAAGTTCCCCACCACCGACCCGGACAAAATTATAATATTCTAATGTCAATGTGGCCAACATTAAAACTCAATAAAAAAAAAAAAAAATAATTAGTTTTATTTAGGAAAATAGATTTTTTTATGAAAAAAAGCAAAAAATGAATAGTTGGAAGTAAACAATTTTTTTTAATACATACAAAATAGCAAAAAAATAAACCAGGATATAGCCCAAAATAACTATTTGAATAGTGTTGTTCAGTAATATACCTTGAAGATGAATATGATGATCCAGATGAATAGGATTGTTTGCGCGATCGACGACCAGAGGCGCCTTGACTACGATGACGTCTGGACGGTGATTTGTGTCTCATCCATGGATCAGCCCATTCGTCACCACGACCTCTTTCAGCGGCTGGCGGGCCATCTTCTTCGCGCCAAGTCTTTGAAGAGGGTATACGCTCAACTATTACTTCACGCGAAGGCCTCTTATGCTTTTTCTCGTATTTTGCCGTACGATGATAGTAATCACGTTCACGAGGATCAGGCGCAGGTGACGGCGAAACAGAATGAGGCGTTCCACGGCTCATGTGATACTCCGCGCGTTCGCGATATTCAGCTCTAGCTTCTTTGTAATGCAGCCTTCTATTGAGTATACGAACCAAACAATCATTAGTTAGTAATACTATGTTATAGCAATGTTTCATCTCAATTAGATAATTGCCTGTAATATTCAGGTCCCGCGTGATAGTATGGATCTGGTTCTTCCGGTGGATAATGATCCGGTGTAAGTCGAGGAGCAGCTCGTCTTGCTGGTGGCTCTCTTGGAGGTGGCCACCTTTCTACAGGAGGTTCAGGACTTCCCGCTCTGACATAATATCCAGCTTCACGATCCATCTCATCCTGACCTAGACCAAGATTCATTTTTTTCTCTTCAAAATCCATATCCAATTCCTTGCGCTTATTGGCTTTCCGCATCATCTGTCATTAATAATAAGTATTAATGAAATTAGTCACTCGTATTTGCGAAATATTTTATTAGAAATGAAAATATAAAACGAAAACTCAAGTTAGCTAGATCAATGAGCTGTGATAAATCAATTTTAATGAATAAAATAATTCAAACTGCAATTATTAAAATTATCAAAATTGATTTATCTGCCACCCCCTGAAATTGAGCAACGCCTCTATCACTTAATGAGATAAGATTATGCATTAACTTATTTAAAGATTGATTAAAATAAAGTTAGTAAATACTTCACACTTTATGTATCAACTACAACTTAATCCTAGTACCAAAGGTCAATCAATAACATTAATTAAATTTTTTCCATAGATAATTTTGTAAACCTAAAAAACTTCACAGCATTGATATAAATGAATTTACAATTGATCTCTAAATCATAGGGGTGTGACAATAATTTATTGAACGAGCTTGATATAATAAAAATGTCTCTACTTTTAAACAGATTATCTTACAAGTAGTTTTAAGATTTTCTGTCCTTTCCATTTTGCAGGTTGTGGCATCTAAAGTAAAAATTCATCATTTTTAAAAAGTCGGTAAACAGATTTAAACCTGAAGGCATTTCATTGCTTCCAAAATTATAGTGTAAAATTGAAATCAGATAAAAACATCGACTATTAAAAAACCCAATTTTTAAATGAACTATTGGTATCTATAAAATATTTATTCCCACATAAAATTATGAGTGATTTTTCAAGTAAAAATAGAAATAGGAAAAAATAAAACTTCTTGATATTTATTCATGTAATTATGTATCTATATTGCATGTTAAATAATACACAATCATAAAATTAATTCTGAAAATATTTTAAACATTTATTTTTGTTACTTGGAACAATGGAATTTTAAAATTTCATTGTTGCTAAAGAAATTCTACTTTAGTATTGGTAAAAATGTTAGTAGAAATAGAAATCATACTTCTAAAATAATATTTGTACATTCTATAACTTCATTAAACTTTCAACACAATGACAAGATATTTTGTTTTCAATGTAATTGTAAGAAATAAACTATAGTGTTAAATAAAACCAGCATGCAATGATTTGAATGAGCTTTACAAAATTGTTAAGATAAATCTATTATATTATTGCAAACCACTAGAATAAAATAAATAAAGGGCAGGCAAAATAACCAGAAAAATTATTATGCATTCGCAACATCGTAGTTACTCAATATCGCTATAATTGTTATTATTGGGTATTGATTGAAAGAAATCTTTGAGTTTAAAAAAATGGAGATCGAGGAATCACGATATTAGCTTAACATAAAAGCCATTTATTGGTATAAGCACATACCTCTTTGGCATGACGTAACCCGCGTTCCCAAGCACTTTCTGATGATGGATCTTCTCCAGGCCCAGGCTTTGGGCCAGCAGGATGATGCGGAGGATGTGGAGGGTACCCTGGTGGTGGCCTCATAGGAGGTGGTCTCTCAAGATGAGGACGAAAATCATGTGGTGGATGTTGAGCCGGAGGGAACGACATAGGACGAACCATATCAAACATGGTGTAATTACCTTTGTCGGTTACTCCCGGATGGAGGAAACGACAACTAACTCCCCAAGTACAAGCTCCACGACTATAAAAACGACATACTGGTCGAGGTTCCGTCTCTTCCGGTCGAGCCTCATCACCGTCACTCAATTCCCCTTCCTCTAGTTCCGATTCAGCTTTTTCACCATCTTCTTTTGAATCATCTTTTAATTCCCCAGCTTCTCTATCTTTATCTTTATCCTTCTGTTTATAAAATGAACAGTTAGTCGAGATTTTAACTTTATTTGAGTGTAAATGATGCTATGAAAGATACCTTATCTTTTTTGTCAATTTTGTCTTTTTTTTCTGAAACTTCATCATTTTCTTTTTCTTTTTCAACGCCATCTGCTTTCGCTTCATTTTCTGCATCATCTTTAATGTCTTTCCATTGCCCATCTGCTTCAAAATCTAATTGTTCTGTTTCCTCATTAGGTAGAACTTCTTTAGATTTATCGTCTTCTTCATCACCAGAACTGTCAGCATTTTGACCACAATTACCTTGTTTCTTAGACATATTTTCATCATCACTATCAAGTTCAGACACATCTGATAATGATTCAGATTTCCTCTTTTTCTTTTTCAAGGAATTACTAATTGCATCATCATCTTCCCTATCCTCTCTTCTGCAAAAATAAAAGAGATTTATTTGATTCGTTATTTTATAAATATGATCAACAAAAAATATCTAATACCTATCATCAGGAGACCTAGGAGGTGTACTGTGTCTTGAAACTGCCGGTGAATTTGGTTCAGAACAATAAGATTTAGCTGGTGATGCAGGATCTTCAACATGTGGGCACGATGGTGGACTAGATCTAGCTTCTTCATTGTCTGATCTTTCACCTTCATCACTTTCATCATGTGGGCATTCACTGTCACTTTCAGCAGCTCCACTATTAGGTGATGCAGGACTGTGATGGTTGTCATCTTCAGGAGAAGCTGGACCCTCATCTGGCGAAGCAGGTCCTAAACCAGCAGGAGATGCTGGACAAGACCCTGTGGGAGATGCAAGTCCATCATCAGGTGAAGCTGAACCAAAATCTTCTGGAGATGCTGGACCAGAGTCTGTAGGAGAGGCAGGGCCTGATCCTTCTGGTGATGCTGGGCCAGAAGTTGGTGAAGATGGGACTACTCCTGCATCGGAAGAACTGTCAGAATCAGACATGATGCCTCAAGTTTACCCTGGAACATTAGTAGTAAAATATAAGAAATACTTCAATAATATAATATTATCAATGAACCCTTTAAATTATTGTAAATGAGTGAAGGAAGGGTTCTTTTCCTAAATTAAAATTTTTTTGCAGGAGCAAGGAATTCCATTTTTTTTTTTTTTTTAATTTAATATTGAAATATCAATGATGAATGATAATTATAAAATTTTTAATAAGTTTAAATACATGAAAAAAATCATCTTCAACAGCTCTTGTATAATAATGAATTCAAATATGGCAAGGTACAAGTTATTGATTACCATTTATATAATTTAAAATATTGATTTCAAATAAACATTAAAAAACAAGCTATGAATAATTTAAGAAGTGGTATGTGCAACGGAAGCACTTCAATAAAGACTAGGTTGTGAAATTATCTTTACAATAAATACAAAAATATATTTAGAAATTTCTCATTTGCATAAGAGGGATTGGTTGGAAAATATTGACCTTAAATAAATTGAATATTTAGTATTACACAAAACTTAACTGTCTAGGACCAAATGGTAAAAAAAGTCTGCTGAACACAATTAATAAATATAAATTAGATATTATTGAACTTAGTAGTATTGACAAACGTTTGTTTATAATGCTACATTTTGTAGTACTCACTAAATTCAGTGACTTTTATGGTATTTAAAACGTCACTCTTAAATCGGCATCTCTTTCTGATGGGCTTACCTGTGTCATAAAGAGCCCTTGCTCTTGTTGATGGTGTTAAACACGAAAATGTTTCAACCGCATGCTTAACTTCAAAGACGTCTCGTACTTCATCTCGATCATAACGAATCGAAAACTGAAACTCCCGTGAATTTTCGCGACGCGTTACTACTGACTCGGATAACTTTCGACTTTTGAAAACGAAATAAAAAGTCGCGAACCGTTGACTTTTTTGACGCGTTAACTTACTACCGAAAGATACCGACTTTGCATCTCTCGGTTTACTTTGCATACTTTTTTTGTACATGACTAAACTTACTTTATGCAACTTAGCATAAGCATATAAACACAACACAAACTAAATTGACAGTATGTCAATGGATAAAAGGTAAACTGTGAACTTATAACTGAACTTTTGTAACTCAGATTAGACTGTTGACTTTTAAACTGTTTGCACTAAAACCAATATTGGCTTTTTTGTTTTTGTATTATTGCAAAAACGTACTGTTTTATCACCTGAAAGAATGATTTGGACGTGCAAAAATAGATTGTATTAAGAAAGCAGAAATAATAGATTGTTTACATCAAGAACTCTATATATAATGATGTAAAAAAAAAAATAATTAGATAGATTATGTTAATGAGGAGAAATATTTGTTACATCTATTTTTTTGATGTACACAACATTAAAGTCATGAATAAGGATGAATAATAAGTTGACATAGTTGATTGTTAATTTATGTGATAATTTTAGTAAAAGGGAGTAAATTTAACACTTTCATATATTTTTGATGAAAATGGATGAGGTTTATTGATTAATCTCTCAATTGCATAAACTTTTCCATTATACAATGTACATTAATTAATTTAATCAGAAAAACCAACTATAAACAAAATTAAATTATCATATAGTTTTCAACTTTTGATAAGTAAAAATACAGCATTAAATATCAAATTAAATAAAGCCCAGACCTTATTATGTGTCATGTAGTTATTATTATTACTACTATTGAGCTTATGTTTCTTTCCAAGTACTTTAACTCTGTGAATAGTGCGAGGGCTTATTCACTACTTTATCAAAGTGTCAAATTCAATCTGTTTTTTTTTTCATCTCTTGCTATCTTCTTCTTTATAAACAATGACTCGCGGCAAATAAAACATTCAGATCAAGAAGTTTGTGGCACAGCTAGCAGTGCAAACGACATCGTATAAAATGGATGCGTTGAGAATTGCGGTTTAGCAACGAACTTCTCCAGTGCATAAGAACCACGCGCACGTCAAATTTATGACAATTCAAAGATTATTGGCGAGAGCAGTAGAGATGATAATGATTTCGATTTTCATGACTCGAAAACACACGCAACTGACCTATGTGTGTATGTTTGTGGTGAATTAGGAAAGTTCGAACGAAATAATGAGATTGCAACAGAAAGCGAAAAAAGAAGTGGAGGAGAGGATGGGGAGCTGGTGTCCATGGGGTCGGTCGATAATGATTTTTACCATAAAATTAGGTAGTCATCAATTTGATGCTCGTTTAGAAATATTGAAAGATGATTGTTATAGATTCCCAAAAGAAAAACAGACGTTACACGCAGTGAGATGTAGGTTATAAGTTCGCACGGACAAGAGCAATTAGGTTTCTTCGTGAATATTTACCTTTGAGAAGTGCTCGTCTCTGCGGGGCTGGGAAAACGAATCCGGACTGAGCACCGGAATGACGCAGTCTCGAGTGCGAATGTGTTTTAGGCTTGTCGACGAATCATGAACTTGATAATGGGATGACCCTGTCCTATCTTCGATGAATTCGGCGTTTTTTCACTTTATTCTCTATCACTCGCGCGCGTCAGACTTTCTTTCTCTCGGACGTGGAATCTTTTACGAGTCCCAAGCGAACTGAATCATTGAATACTAGCCAGCCTGCCTGTGCCGTGAAATCGAAGAGATTTAACAATAGAGCTCAGTATCGTTGAGTATGTGGAGAGCCAGACGCACCCGAGATTCTAATTACACTTGCAGCAGGCGGCACTAGAGGGCGTCAAACATCATATTTTTTTCGACTTTTGAGTTTAGACATGATTTAGATTCTTAAATTTATCAACATAAATTCTAATTTAGAAAAAAAGTATTTTTTTGTAGTTTTCTTTAATACCTTACGACCTCTGACTATTTTTGGATTTATTCCAAAGTTGAAATGATTAATCTAAACGCCGGTGAATCAAATACTATGTTTGATGGGAATTATATAAAGGGATATGATTGCATTGAAATAAACATAACAACTGCAGGGTACCATTACTATGATAGGGATACAGATTTTCAAACAAATTAAATACAAACAAAAAACGAACAACGTTCCAACTTAAATGTACTACGTTATTCGTCTTTAGAAAGTTTAAATAAATCACAAATTAGATATAAAAAATTTTCAACTTAAAAAATGATGTACTTATAGTTGTAAGTATAATTACCAGGTGGAATATGGCAATGATAATAATAATAATAATAATAATAATAATAACAATAATAATAATAATAATAATAATAATAATAATAATAATAATAATAGTTCTTAAAAAATTATTGTTATGCTTAGCAATGAAATGTTTAGATTATATTTCCAATAATGAATACATAATAACAGAAAGTGATGAAACAAAAAAACAGCAACCATAATATTTACTTATGGTACTAGTATTAATTTTTACCAGCTATGTACATCAAATAAACATAAAAGATAATACAAGTTTCAAATTATATATGTACACTAAGTAATAAGCTTTATAATTTGCTTCATTTCCATTTTAAATTGAAAACTTGTCTTTGTTTTTTGAGCGAAAAATCCTTATTTACTCGTGTTTACATACTTTTATCGTGTAAATATAAATATATAGTAATTATTTGAATTTATACATACTTATGTATTTATAATGGATAATATGCATAATTGACTAAGTTTCCCATGAAAACGGGATATGATTATAAACTCTTGTGTAAAAGACCTATCAATTTCACGATTAATCGACCGGCTAATCGCTTGACGGTCGTTCATTTTGTCAGAATGACATCTTTAATTATTATACCACAGTAAAAAGCATTCAAAATAGAATCAAAACATGACTCTTTACATTAAAAAAAATAGAACTTAAGTCGAAGAGTATATCTTCTGATATTCACTTTAATTTTTAAATTATTGACCGACTTGCTCACGGCCGTGAAAAGCAATTGAGTAAAGCCGATTATTATCATAAGCTTCTTTTATATTTATAATCGTATAAAAAATCTCTTACAAATGTTAAATTGGTAAATGTGGAATGTGCACATTGTTGGAATGTGAAAAAGTGTGAATACTGATGGCCATATCGATTGTAGGAGCTTCGATATCGAATCACTTTTAGTTGATGAGCCTCACTAAGGTAATTGTTCTACATAATTTTTCGGTATCAAACCCGTTTTTCCATTTAGTGTACCAACTAGCCAACCTGGTTCACTTGATGGTTGAACTGTAAAAACATTATCATATGATTGATTAATTTCAAGTTGCAGTTCTCGAACGTTTTGATTATAGCAAAAAAATTACCGTTTGTGATTATCTGATTTGGTTCAAACGATAATTCCCCGACACTTTCCGCCATACAAGCGTAGAGTGTTCTTACCCTCCTAAAACCAAAATCATACGTCATGTTGTTATGAAAAATTATTTTGACATAAAATTGATTAAACTTACCAAATTGGACCAGGACTAGATCGTCCACTATTCGGCGACGTGTTGACTCTGAAAATTTTATAGAAAAATTATCAGAAGGGCACGTTTAAAAATAGCGTGAATGCACGTTAATGATTAACACAAAAAATGAGTAAAATGGTAAATCAAACTAATCATAAATCAATAAATTGATAAGAGCTCGTTTTTAGATAAAGCCTTTCAAAAAGGAATATGTATGATTACGTGAATAATTGAATAAACATCAATTAAATTGGTATTTGAGAGACTTACAAAGTCATTATTGGATTGCTGCGCGTCGGATAATTAAAGTAGGTGTTGACCAACCCTGAGTCACGCTTTTGTTTAACAGGTACACCAGAGGAGCTGAGGTACGGTGGTGGATCGCTGGCTATTGATTCGCTCGAGCTGCTTGTGTTACCACCACCCGTCGATACTGAAAACATAAGCATGTGTCTCACATGTAAGCCAACAATGCTTCGCATACGATGAAATCCAAAGAGTCAACATACCTCGATCGGCAGAGTGATACATGAAGTTAGTATTTCGATGCTTCAGCCGACTTATGTGACTGTCGGCGAACATCATAGGTAGCCTGTGACTAGCGTTATCTGTATCCTGATAAACCTCGCCGTTGTTTTTTTGATCGCCATCGATGAGCGGTGATTTCGTCGCTATAGACAATGAACTCTCGTAGAACGATCTCGGGATTTCCTGTGTTTATAAGGCGGTAATAATGATTTTTTTATGCTTTTAAAAAACCTGCATCAATATCGATTGTTTATACCTGAACTGTAGCCGGCACCACGGTATGCACTGAATAGGTAGGCAAATGAACGGCACCATTACCCGTGACGCCTTGCTGCTGCGGTGATTTAGGCTTTATAGGCTGGTGGTGTAGGCTCTGAGGTTTAGCAGGTGGCATATCTTCTTTATCCTCGGATCGCGGCGAGCTCGGCAAACTTTGAGCTGCTGCGCCAGGAGAAGATGCTGTGCCAGATGCAACAGGCGACGATGCATTACCAACTTTCATAGGTGAAGATGCATCGAGCGACGGTGGTCCGGCGATTATTCTCTCGCAATTTTCAATGAGCACTTCCGTGACGACATTGTAAAACTTTATCTCCATGATCGATGCGACTGTTTCTTGCTCCGGCCTCAGTAAAGTTGGTCCAAAGCATACCGCCAGATTACCGACCGTCATCAAATTTTTATCGCTTTTTTTTACGACTCTATAATTGATAATAATAAATAACATGAGTTTTTTCTGAACCCGATGCATAAGAAGATGCATTGTTAGCAAAGAAAGGAAAAAAAGCAAGCGCCGCGATGTGTCAAATCATGCGTGATTCATCAGTGGTTCAACATATCATGTTTGTTGCGCTCGATAGAAAGTTCAACAAATGGTTGGAATAATTACTTGTGAAGATGATTGATGAGCAGTAGAAGAAGATTGAGATTTGGCTGGGGTAGACGATAAACCAAACGATGCAATTCCTGAAGACGCTCGTTACTATCAAGCTCTGGAAACAAGCAAATCCTTTTAAATTTTCTATTAAGATTAACAAAAAATGTGTCTCTAATTATTCTTACTGGCTGCTGCGAGGAAATTCTCGTACAGGCGATAAGTCATGAGAGGTTCAGACAACGATCTTAGATACGTTTTTAGAGCACTAGTTATCGTCTTGCTTTCCCACTCGATTCGACTCTCGAGATTCATCTTTTCGAATTTCCTACGGTCTAGGCCCATGGATAGCAGCCTGTTGACTTTTGATGATACGCCGACGACTCGGTACAATCCCTGCTCTTCCAAGCCTCGTTCTTCGAGAGTCTTGATGCACCTGGTTATAAAATATATGCCAGTAGCGTCGATCACATTCTTCTCTTCGGGCTTCGAGGGATTAGACAAAAAATTGACGGGTTCGCGACCGTCCATCGCGTCCATCCACGCTTTTCTGTCGTCCTCTGATAATGCTTGAAACGTATATACAACACCGGGTCTGAAATTTTCGTGATTGGTTGTTACTCGTCGAAGTACAATGCGCGTTTGGCAAAAAGCGATTTTATTTCGATAATTCATTGCACTAACGATTTTGAAATAAGGTACATACATTTAAAACAGATATGAATATGTTAGTTACAATGAAAACGAATGTAAAATAAATCACAAAAAGGAGAAAAAACTGACCTCCCAACAGCAGTTATATCAAAACAAAATCTTTTGTCTATAGACTCAGACATACGCCGCACACAGGATGCTAGAGTAAAGGTATCTTTATTGCTCTGTTAAGGAAAAGAGAAGAAAAAATAACACTTGGTTAGTTCACTCTAGAGTACGTCATCTATTTCTTCAAGTTGAATGCAGTTAAAAAAAACGTAACCAACACACGCTTTGGACAGTAAATCGAAAAAAATACTCACAAATTTGCCCGTGAGCTGATTGTACGGTATCATAGTGAATTCTTTTTTGTCTTTTTGATATGTGCAATATTGTTTCGTCCATGTTGTACCGAAGGCCTCTGAAAAGTAAAGCTCAGATTACTAATATCATTCTCAATTTCGAAAAAAATATCGTTGCTTACTTTTTTCCATAAAATACAGATATCCTTCTCTGCTATACAATTTATTAGGGCCGCTCTCGATGGCAGACTGAAAACAAATTAATGTACAAATTAGTTGGATGCTCCTCAATGACGTAAGATGAAGTGTTAAAAGGATTCGATTAGAAGGAATTAATTTACCTTTTTGACGTCCTTCATTTTATTCATAAGCGATTCTGTTTTATCCCGAGTAGCATGGAAATTCTCTCTAGTCTTTTAAAACACGCAGGTAAGATTAAGAAAATTAGTAAAGGATCATTATTAGACTGGTCAATAACATTAGTTTCAATTATAAAACACTAATTATTTTAGTTTAAATTTTTTTGCAATAATACTCAAATCGTTTATTTACTAAAACAACTTACTTTTTGAATTTTCAACTGCAGCTCACTCATATAAGGCTTGAAATCCTTAGCGACTTCGTGACCTTGATGGTAAAAAGTTAGCCATCCGAGCATAAAACTTAGCAGCTGAAATATAAAATCCACAGATTAGTATCAATATTTTTCGAACTTCATCAAATGAACCTACCGTTTCTACAAATTCGAATTTTTTTCGCTCTTGAACTTCTTGTAATAAAAATACATATTCTAAGCTTGCTTGGCAAAAATGCCTCTCAGCCATATCCAGAGTCGCATCCGCCTGAGAAAATAATTTGTGTTTGAACTTGTAGATTTAAAAATGTCGTTTTCATCGAACATAAATTTACCTCTTGAAGAACATTGTCTTGCTTTTTCGTTGAGAGATTCAAATAACGTTCTTGACTCTGGCAGAACTTGATCGTTTGCTTTTCAAACTTTTTTTTCCCTTCCTAAGTATAAGAGCCATATTAGCAAAAGGCAAAGAAATAAATTATGCTACGAAAGGTATCGGAATGTGATAATTACCTTTACCCCGCCTATATGTGTTTTTCGAAACTGTTCTAGTGGCAGAATAATTTGATCGTACGCATTAGCTAGCTACAAAAATAAATTACATTTTTTTATTAAAAGTGTTTGTTTTGTTGCTTTTTAAAAAAACTTAAAATTATAAAAAAATCAAACTGTGATCACACAATGCAAATGTGATAAACACAGACAGTAAGGATAATTTAATATTCAGAGCAATGACATTGAACTACGTAAAAAGACTACTGTAAAATACTTTTATTTACCATGGATAAAAACGGAGTCGTATATATTATGTTGTGTATTTTCGAAAATATACTGGCAAGTACATTTTGTTTCGAGTATTTTGAACAATTTATGAAAGTCAACATTGAAAAAGATAAAATTTTTAAAAATATAACGTTTTAAAAGCAGTAAGGGGGTTGATTCTACTGTCAATTAATAAACATAACTAAGCTACTCATGAGCATTCTTAAAATATTTTTACGTTTACATAATTACAAATGTAATAGATATGAACCAAATACGAAAATTGATAGGGGTAAGCAATTTGTAATGATGACTTGTAATATCAGTTGTTTGTTACTTGTAGATATTTATTAGCAAAAACTACGAAAATCGAGATTTTTGTGATAATATATGTTGATGTTAAATTAAGAGATTAGCAATTGTATAGATTATTTAAGTTCGTGTGATTTGAAATGTTGATTAGTTAAAAAACGTGTAAGGCAAAAAAGGGTGTTTTGTGTGTAAGTTATAATGTGACAGAAAAATCGTGATGGCACACTATAGAAAAAGTATTTGATTTTAAACCATTGACTCACACTGTTATCCTTAGCGAAAAGTTCAAAATTTTATATCATAATAAGCCATTTGAATGTTTTTTTCTCTTAAATATAGTATAGTAAAATTGAACGCAAGATGTAAAAAAAAATTATAGCATTTCTACCGTGCTAAGTGCATACCATGCGATCACGCTCGTCTTCGATCAACGCAATGAGTTTACCAAATTCCTTCAGACTTTGGGATATGTGAATTTCATCTTCAGTTTGGGTTTCACCAATGCATTCAAAGCTGAAATTCTGTAATGTCTTCGAAAAAGCCCTCTGTGCTCGAGAAAGATCTGTAACATAGCGCGTTTTGCAATAAGCTACATGCTTGAATGCATTTTTCATTTTTTTTTCTCATAGAAAAACACATATTTTTGAAGCTTATTAAAATTATTTGATGTGCAGACTTTTTATCAGGCATATTTTACAGTTCTACAAATTATGTATGAGGTTTTATTAATTCCATCAATGTGTCATTTTTATTCCATATTCATCTCATAAGGACAGTCATTGTGCACATAGCAAGTGATACACAATGTTACTCAATAATTTTTTAATAGTATCTATTTTGTGTGAGGTCACATTACTCTCCTGCATATAGCCAATAATAATAATCAGTTCATTTGAAATATCTTGTTTATTGAATGGTTTTGTATTGATAATTTGTTTGTAGAAATGTAGGATAATATTTTACTGGCTTTTGAAATTAACATTTCACTAATCAAATTACATATTTTTTTACAATTTCAAACTAAAAGGAAATGGTTTATTAAATGTTTTTTAATGTTGAATTAAATTTCTTCATGGTAGCATACTGAAGAACAGCTTCAATCTACTGATGAATGCATATTAAGTGACAGATAATTATAATTATCCTCATTATATGGGGAGTAAAATTAAAATGTTACAGTGACAATATGATACTTTACAAAGGATTATGATAAAAAATAATGAATACAATTTTACCCAAATCAGTACATTAACTAAAATTTACAAATTGTTTTATAAATGGCAATCAGAAAAATATATGTTTTAAAAAATTTGGAGTTCTTTAAAGCTATACAAATAAATGTTTACAGCTTTCAATAACTTTGTTCTAAAAATACTACAATGAATTTGAAATATTTTTAAAAAGAATCATAATATTTAAAAAAAAAGTCATAATATTTTATTCCATTCTACTGAAAGTGTTACAAAGGAAAATAGTGTTGAGAAAATGTTGTTCAACAATTATAATTTGACTTGAATCTACTGGTGAAACAGTAAGAGATCAAATCATGTGTTAAAGTTAATCAACAAGTTTAACCAAAACAAATCATTCATCAAGGTAATAAATGCCTCAGGGTATGTATACACAAAAGTTTTATTATGTAAACAATGTAAACAATACTCATGTCCACATGATATATAAATAGAATATAGGAGTTAAAACCAATGAATACGAGGCAAAAGGCATGCCATTGGAGTAATTAAAAATCTTACGCATACTGTCCATTTCATATCTCACTCTGGAGCATGGTATCAGCCTTGCAAAATTTGAATACACACTGTGATATAATCGCTATGTAATATGCTTGTCACACATGTACGAGTGATCACACTGACTAGAAGCATCAACTTGGCAGTGCAGATACTCATATGATATTAAAGTATCGTAGTAGAAGAAGAAGCAGAGGGCATATTGGCATTAACAGTGGTAGTAGAAGAGGAGAGGCTCTCAATGAACACGACCTTCTTCCTTTAGCGATTGTGTATGCAGAAAAGAACCAAATGAAAGTAGCAAATGTAGCAGATAGTTGCAGAAAAGTAGAGGTAAAAGAGAATGTCTTAAAGAAAAAAAAGTCAAAAAAGTTGGTGAGATAAAGCATCACCTGCATAAATGACGTTTGATAAAAAGTACACAAACCGGAGCATATCATTAATAGTATAGTAGATAAGAATGTATGTGCGATAGTGCATTGGTTCACATGAGTGTAGAAAAAAAATAACGTACTTTTAGCGGCCGTCAATAAATCCTTGACCTCCTTGATGAGGCGCTTGATTTGCGTGCTAGTGTTTTCGAGTTCTCGCTCGTGATAGTGGAGATTCTCGCGGAAGTAGGGGCTATCCGTGAGGCAATCCGTGAATTCAAGCGGCTTCAGACCAACACCCATGTTATTGTTGATATTGCTTCGGAGCTACGGGCTTCTTTTTTCAGCTTGCACTTACTGATGCACCTCGGCGTCGCTGGAGTACGGCACGACGAAAAAAAAGACCAAAACAATAACAATGCGTAGGATGACGTTAGCTCTTTATGCAGCTGCTGTGGGCAGCTTCTTTGACAATTTGGCCTGTCGCCGATGACGCTCATTTAAGGCACCCGCGTCTTTGCAGGCTTGAAAAACAGAAGACGATTCGGAGTTGCAACGAGCAACACTGGGCATAATTCAGCCACTCTCGGCTCGCAATCGTGCGCACAGATCGCAGATATAAATTATAATTACATATATCTCTATGTACGTTTGTGTATGTGCGTGTGTGTGTGTATCGCTGCACGTGCGATTCGCGACGTTATGCGTGTACGTATATTGGAATTGCGAATGTTTTGGTACGTGTAGGCGCGCGTGTATGCGTTAGACTATTATTTATGCTTGTGTATGTATTAATGTATCGTATATGCAGAGACTTTACGACTTCATTCACGGAGTCGAGGAATTTTTTGCTCGCTCTTCTAAGCAATTAAACGAGACGCGCACTCGGCCGAACGAACGATAATAATGATAATGCGAGCGTGAGCCAGCAGTCAGAAGCAGTCAGAAGCAGCAGCAGTAGCGAGAGATGCTCTCCTTGTTCTTGTTTTGCATGGAGCAAATAGCACGGATCAACAGAAGCACATCGCGCGCGCACTGTATAGATTCTTTCTTTGGTGTATCGGTCGGGCCGAGGGAAGTTTCGCTATGGTCACGCACTGCACGGACGCACACTAATACTCGAACACGAAGCCTCGCACAGTCGTATATGGAAAAAATGCCGTCGCACTCTCGGTCGGATATTTCGCTAGGTATGCGCGCGTGAGGCACACATACGCTACACTGGCTGGGGACTCTGGTATATATTCGCGGGATCGGAGTCGGAGAGGCAGAGGCGAATTGGCAATAGGCAGACTAGTCGGAGCGCGCGCCGAGTAAATAGGTGTACTGTACGCAGCTTGACGTATGCGATAATATACGCGCTGCTGGCGACTGGCAGTGGCTCGTACCAATTGTATACATACACAGAGCCTCGAGCTCGAGCTGCTATATACAAGTTAATGTATTATGTATATAGGTATAGGTATATAGCGTGACTTTGTTCGCTGGAGAGTAGCGATGCGTGCGTACAAGACGAGTACGACGGCGCGCGCGCGTTCCTTCTTTCGTTTCTCGATCGAGACTGCTGCCGTTGCTGATGCTTTGCACCGCGAATACGATACACGACTTACGAGCATATATACTACACACGAGAGCGAGAGCTGCTGCTGGGCTTGTGTCTGTGCGTCTTTCATACGTATCGTACGTGTATATGCAAGCTATGCGCGCTCGTGTGCCTATGTAATAATGCGCCGAGGTAAAGGCTTAAATTGCGTACACGGAGAGAGAGAGAACGACGGGATGTGCTGTGTGTAGCTATAGAGAGCGTCCAAGACGGAACGTGCGCGCGACGAGGTAATCGCGTTCGTGCGTGCAGATTATTCGCTCGCTCTATACGTGCTCTATAGTCTGCGTGCTGACTATAGCTACTATTCCATACGGAAAGAGAGAGAGAAGGAGACGACGCGCTGCAGTCGGCCAATAACAACATGGGGGGATGCTTTGATGCACGAGCTGCACACTGCTCTCCGCTCGTACTACACGCTACTACAACTGCCTTTCGCGGCTTCGTTTTTTACAACGAATTTATATTTGCACCAAACTGTATACTCGACTATAGAAGCCGGGCCCGTTTGATTCAATACTTTGGCAGCTGTTGGATCGACGCCAGTATCTTTGCGTGCATTAATTGATAAACATTGCGAGTCCTTATCGGATTTAATCGTGCGCGTCGACTTTTGATCGATTGCACAAGTCAAATAAACGATATGACCTCTTCTGTAGGAGAATCACACACGAGCTCGTGTACATCGAGTTATCGAAGGCTCGATCGTTTTGAATGAAGCGCCGATTCGATCGGCAAGTTAAATTCCCACCTTGTGCATCGGGCACGGCGATCGACATCTGCTGGGCGCATTTTTGCATCGAGCGACGCACAGATGTCGCGCGCACCTCGAGTGTCGACTGCACCGACTTTCGCACATTTCACCTTGTTACGTATGGTATAGGTATACATATGTACAGGTGCAGGTCGACCAATTGCAAGCTCCAGGCCATCTCGCGAACTGCTGTACAAGTCGGAGCGAGAGAGAAAGAGAGGAGGGGGAGTAGAAAAACAAACACGGAGCCAGTACGTGCAGAGTATAGTACGCTACGTACGAAATACGATGTAGCATCAGGGTAAGTTGCGTGCATGTCCGCGCATGCGGTCGCGGCCGCGCGCGCCGATAAGTAGCCGAGAGGCGAAAAGCACGAGCGAGCGAGCGAGCCAAAAGAGAGATCGAATGTAACTGGGGGATGGATTGGCGACTCCGTCTGTGCAGTCTGGAGCGCAAAATTGCAGCCTATGTGCTGCAGCCGGCGGCGATATCAACACACACTTGCACGACTGATCTCGCAGTTGAGTAGTCGCAAGCTCGCAGCTCTCTTGGTCTCTGCATTCGTTTTCCCACGATGACTGCGCTTCGGCTTACGTAATTTCATTCGGGCGCCAACGAGATAAAACTTTTGTATACATACATCGAGACAACGTCAGCAGCAGCAGCAGCAGCAGCAGCAGCAGTTGGCGGCTCGCGGCCCCACGGATACCATACGTATAGCGAGTGAATTTGTGCCAGCTGAATCGCATTCGCGCTCGATCGCGGCAATTCGAAACGAGTGCGGCCGCCGTGTGATATGTCGTGGCCGACGGCGCCTCGGCCAATTCGTCTCTCGGTGCTGCAGCTGGTCCAACTACGGGACACGAATCCGACTCGGAGGACGACGCGATGACGATACGACTCTCGGCCCAACGGCGATCGTTGCACAGCCACTGACGGAGACTATTCCAGAGCTTCGGATTAATGGGCAACTCCGAGGAGGAGCGCGAGGAGGTGCGCAGGTGTCTCAACTACACCGGCCACACGTGAGTCCGCATCTATTTTCGTGCTTTGTTTTATCCTAATTTTCGCCATGTTTCAATGACGCATCGTTTGCGGTCGACCTGGAATCATATCAATTTCCAGCACAAGCTCGTCTCGTCGAGCGGAAATGAAATTCATATCGGATCGGATGCAGCCAAACTTTCTCCCGCAAAACGTCGAATATTTGCGATGATGCGCTGCGCGATAGTACAATATATTATATATATGTGTAAGGCATGCCGTTACGCAGAAGAGCCAACGTCGGAATGTAGTTTCCGCGCGCCAGCGACGATTTTTCTTTGCCAGATATCGAAATATATACGCGGTTGCGGTAACGAGCCGTACGTGTCTCGCTGCCAGTTTCTCCGTTTCTCGCTTCTCTGTTTGTGGAAACTTTGCGCTGCTCTATCGTGCAGAGCATATAGATATATACAATATTATATAGAAGCGCGGCTCCGAGATAACGCGCGATTGTGTGTACTAGAGCAAACGAGGCGCGACAGACAAACACACGAGGCTTCATCGGGCATGAATTATGAATTACCCTGTCCCCACGCATTGTATTCGCGAGAGTAAGAGAGCAGCGCGTGGCCCGAATTTCCTATATCAACGGCATTCGCATTGTACCAGCAGCAGCAGCCCGACCATTGCAACGGCGCGAGTAAATAACGTCTGGGAAAATTCTGCGATCCGTCGAGCATTATCGACTTTTTACCTGTCGTCGTCGGGCTCTCGTCCAAGCACGTGTAGCAAACGGACGCGCACAGCTTCTTTGATTTATTGTTCGCACGCGAATCTCCGCGTCATTTGCCTACGCACACGAAGCAGCGACGCCGTTACGGTATCGATAATTCGCGCTCGATATACTTACAGCGAATCGGAAATTTTACTCGATACAATGCGACTACGTATAGGACGTTTAACCACGTGGTGATAGCCGCGATCGATGAACCCCTACGTCAATTTATACACGTTCCGCGCTGGTATTAATAGATGCAAACCAAGGCAGATATATAACGAGCGAGCATACAACGGACGCTGCCCGATCGCACACACGTGTGTCTCGGATTTTCTCGATCGATCGAGACGTGCCCGCGAATTTTTTCCTCGAGCGACAAAGCAGCAGTAGCGATCATCGCTCGCGTCGGCTGCCCCGGGAAGCTTTGACGCGCGCGCGTGCCTATACACGATCGGAACCTTGTCCACGACGATGATTGAGCGTGCGAATCGCCTTTCGGAGTGTGACACGCGCGCGTCCACAGAAAAGTTCAATTTGTCAATGAAAATTCCAGTAGACGTCCGATAACCACTGCGTATACGAGAGCTATTTCCAGCGGGATCGTACATCGGATGACAATGACGAATAAAAAGAGATGAAAAAAAAAAACTAATCGTACGTCTAAGTTTGTGACGTACTTGGAGAAACTGTAACTCCGTCTCATCAGTGCTAATCGCGTAGAAGCTCGTGTAGTGTCTACGAGACTCTTAAAGTTTCAGCGCTAATGACTAAAGCACTTCATTATACGGTATCCGCGCGTGCAGTAAATTCCGTAATTCTACTCGTGACCTTTTACCTCGCCTATCGAGTCGAACTACACATAAATAATGCTGACGAGACTCCGATGTATCATTTATCAGTTACGCACTGGGGAAAATTTGTACATATTTTTTTTAAACAAATATCGCTATTTCGGCCTGTTTTTCAAATTCTAAGAGTGTTTACATCTTCGTAAAGAACATCAAAATAACCCAAACCCGACTATGATTTTGAGAAGGCATTTTTTATCAATGTTTATATCTCGAGATAACACGAGTTTATGTCTGCGATTAAATGCGAGAGCGAAGCTTTTTGCGGGCTTCCACGCGCTACGGACGTCGAGAAAATTGAGAATGAGCACGCGTCAAAGCGAATTGACCGAGTAAATCTTCAAACAGGCTCATTTTCGTCTCTATTTTACCGAACTCGCGAAGCTGATTGTATATATACACCAACACATCCGTTCCACTTTATGAACGACCATTTCATCAGCGAGTATAGAACAAGCACAAAAATCGTTTTCCTGGAGCACTCCTTTAATTTAAATCAAATTTGGACCTTTCGTTAACTTTTTAAATCTATTTACAATTGCCTTCTCATCGATCATGATTAACTCATCGATATCCGTTGCAAATCCGCGTTATTAAATATAGCTTTTAATGCAACATCATGACATACCTATTACAACGATGATATAATGCATAACAAATGCGCAGCTGAAAACAAGAACGCATGTGAACATATTTTACAACGAGAGCGAGTAAAGCTCGGTGACGTAACGCTTAGCCCCGAGGCATCGCAATAAGTCCGAAACGCGTTAAAAAAAGTATAATTTAACGAATGAGCCGCGAGACAAAAAGAGTGTGGGCACGCTTACACGTGTGTGTGTGTGTGTGTGTGTGTGCGTGTGTACAAATTTAAGAGTTGTTTGTAAAAATACGTACGAGCGCGCGCGCGATGCACTTGACCCGCTGTCGAGAGAAAAATAGAGAGAGAGAGAGAAGAGTACTCTGAGCACATAGTGCTCAAAAATAGTACAGTCCCGTCTAGCGAGAGACTCGGCTCACATATTATTTTGCAATATATGTACCAATAAACCTGCGACTCTGCCTCTATTATACCTAAATAGACGGTCACGTACGCGTGCGATGCTGTGCGCCTCGTGCCTCGTTATACCGTGGACAGTGCACGCACACATGTATATACGGCCGCGAGGAATCGTTTATACACATCGCCGCGAGCGGAAAGCGTTAGGTAATCAAAAGGTGCTTATACGTGCAGACACACACATACACACAGAGGCAGACGAGCGCGTGCAAATGCGCTACCGCAGCCGTAGCCGAGGTGCGGTTTTGCACAACTGCGATTCAGTTCATCGGTGACTGTCGAACGTTGATGGACGCCGCGACGACGCCGCGATGACGACGACGATCGGACTGTCGGACGCGCTGAGCGGCAAAAAGACACCCGGCGGCCTCTACGGCGTGGCCTGTCTGGCCAACAAGCTCGTCTGGGCGCTGGTGCTCATCAAATGGCTCAACTTCGAGGTCTGGTGGTGGCTCGGCGACGGATCGTTCGCCTGGCATCGCTGCACCTCGTTCGGCTGGGTGCCCGGCGTCGCCGCTGACGGA